AATCAATCAATCCACTATCTCTGAATTCGTTTCATTCATTGAAGTAGAAGAAGAGAATGATGTAGCGTGCGGTGGTTGGCTGTAGAATAAATGAATGAATCGCACAATCAAGTTGGTGGTAGTTGTCGATTACGACATGAAACGAAATGCGAAATTGGTACATGTCATTGGTCGACTTGTACGACTGGTCAAGTCACGGATCTCAAAAATTGTGGTTGTCACGCAACAAACAGAACCGAAAACCAGCCGGCGAGCAGTATTGTTAAAAATTTGGCAAAACTCGTGACTTGGCTGTTTTGGGGTTGGAGGCATCATCTTGGCTATAACTTGAAACTTCTTGCTGTATTGTACAGTCTTATTTGGCTACTCACTCTACTCTACTCACTCGCAAATACCTACATAATAAAATATATACATATACACAAAATTAAACAAAGTGACCCTCAAATGGAAGCACGGCGCTTGCACGAGGCCGCTGCCAGAGAAGCTGCAAGAGAAGCCCTGTTGCGAGAAGCTGCCTTTCGGGAGGCACGAGCTGCCGAAGCCGCGAGTGCTCTGTCCGCATCCTCTCATCATCATCATGATCCGTCGTTGGCGGGTGGTTTGCCACCTTCCTATCATCATCATCATCATCATCATCTTTTAGGAGGAGGAGGTGGAGGTGGTGGATTTTCCTCGTTGGACTATGCGGCACTAGGTTATCCCAGTTACTATGGTTCCGCCGCACTTCCTTTGCATTTGCGGGGTGGTCCAGGAGCATCGGTCCGAACTGCTGCTGCTGCTGCTGCTGCATCACGACCTCCATTGTCGGCGGCAGCCCTGAGAGCCGAAGCCCTTGCCAGCCGAGAACATGCCCTTCGATCCATTGCTCACGAGGAAGCCGTCTTGGCGGCGACGAGAGAACAAGCACGACGGAATTTGGCGCATGAGGAAGCCATCATTACGGCCTCGAGGGAACATGCCATTCGCAATTTGGCCCACGAGGAGGCGATATTGGCAGCCACACGAGAACAAGCCCGTCGGAATTTGGCGCACGAAGAGGCCTTGTTGGCGGCCACACGAGAACAGGCTCGTCGGAATGGATTATCATTATCCCAAACAACAAACCACGCGTCTGGTGGTAGTAATGGAACAGCTGCCGCTTCCGCAATCACCTTGGACGCAACGAATCCAACAAATTTGCCTCGGAGTTGGGGAGTGGAGGCAATGCCCTTGTCGTCCACTCGAGAATTTTCTCGACGGGAGATTGTGCACGACTGTGTGGAAGAGGAGGGGATCTACAAGGGCAAAAAATTGCGAAGTGGAAAGTTCTCGGACCAAGAAGAAGCCTATGGAGACATTCTCATTGAATTATTTGAAAAGGGTCAGGTAGATATTGAAAGGGGAGTGTCACTTCGTACTTTTTTGGCGAAAGCATTGCATTGCTCTCCCATGAGAGTCACGAAAAAGATTGCCGGGAAAGGCAATGAAGCCAGAAAAAATTATCTGGGAAGGAAAAACCTTCCCGTGTTGGGCAATGAATTTCGACATTTGAATGCAAGGTTTCAAACAGCGAGGGACAATTTTCTGCAAGTTTTGAAGGAAGAATGGGAAATGGTAAGTTTTTTGTTGTTGTTGCAGTTGTGCGCATGATCAGGATCAGGATCATGCTTATGACTATAATGATTGATGGCTTGGACAAGCTGTAAATTTTCACTCACTTGCTCACACCTTTTTTTTTAATTAAAATTTTCAAATTGACAGGAGGATTCTGAAAACAAGGATTCATCGGTAAGTGTTCCTGCTTACGAATTCATCACAACCATATTTGTTGCATTTCCCTGCCCCCGTTGTCTAACAATCCAATCCAACAACAAAATTGTATACTAAAATAATAACAAAATGGTGACCACCACCACCAACAGGAGGATGACGAGGAAAGTATCAATGCAAATCAACCATTGGAAGGAATACAGGACAAGGCCTGGAATAAACGAGTAGGACAGCTTGCTGATTTCTATCGGGAATATGGGGTCGCCAACTTGCCCATCCAAAAGAAATACAGGGAATTGCGGGATTTTGTCAGCCAGGTACGGATCCAATATCGAAAGAAGCAACTTTCCAAGGAACGCATTGCGCAATTGGACGACCTTGGATTCATTTGGTCCTTTCGGAGGTTTGTACCGTGGGGAACCCGACTGGAGGAACTACGAGCCTTTCGAGAGCGCCACGGTCATTCGAGAGTACCATTCCGGTACAAGGAAAATCCATCCTTTGGACTCTGGGCCGCCAATATGCGAGCCAGGTACTCCAGATATGTAAAGGGGAAGGATTCCACGGTGGCTCCGATTGCTCCAGAACAAATCGAAGCTCTCAATGAAATTGGGTTTGTGTGGGAATTGAGCAATTCCGTGGGAAGAAGCCCCAATTATCAACAGTTGCAGCAACAACAACAATTGCAACAAAAATTGCAACAACAATTGCAACCACCACCACCACCAACACCAACACCACATGAGATTTTGTCTACCGCCCAACAGCAAACTCAGTTTTTCATGGGGAAAGTCGCCCTGAACAAGGCTGTGAGATTGAATTCTTCCTATTGGGACGGACTGTATTCAAAAGTGGAGGCTAATTTATTAGCACTCGATCGATTGTACAAACAAGAAGAAGCTGCAGCGATCCTTGCAGGAGAGGATGTGGCCTACGTAGTTAATCCTGACAGAGCAGAGGCTCCAACAAGCAGCAGCCAACATGACGATGACGATGACGATTCTTCGTCATCCGATGGTGATACTCAGGAAGAAGCTGACGACGAGAACAGTTCAACAGAAGAAGACGAAGATGCTTCCATGGGCGATTGGAGCGACGGGGAAATATTGGATGACGATGAATACCGGAAAGTGGAGGCTAGTCTGAGAGCACTCGATCAATGGTACAAAGAAGAAGCGGAACTCGAAGCGACAGGAAAACTTGCAGCGGCAGGAGGAGGGAGGGAGAGAGAGAAAAGTCCAGAACCAGAACCAGAACAGCAAGAGAATGCCTCTATTTTTGACGATGCCGAGGACGAGATATACGCCGATGCAGAGGAGGAGGAGGAAAAAGTTCCGGCCAAGGCAAGAGTCGATGATTCATCTGACGAGGGGAAATGGTTATAATACATGGATGGATGGATGGATAATATATTCTCACGCACTGTAGCAACGACAAGACGGACACGGGTGTGTCGATGATTGCCAGATTTGATATTACCACACTGTCATGCAATTTGCATGCAGGAGTGTTGATAGGCAGTATCACGCTCTAGTTACTGCTCCTTGATTGCTAGTGGAATGTGACACACAATTTTGTACTGTAAATATTTGTAATGATATATATGTAAATATTCAAATGAAAATGCTTCTCTTGTTGTCATCCTACATTACCGGGACAGTAAAACTTTTCACGTTTTTTTTCTTGTTGGAGAAGTGGAGAGAGTGAGTCTTACTTAGAAATGCCAGCGTTATGTCCAGAATTCGGCACCTGCGACTGAAGCACGTACGCACTTACTGGTCGATGAGACATCCTTTGGAGAATGTCTCAATCTAACGGTCGCATAAAAGAGGCCGAACTCTTTTGGTGGCATTCATAACCGAACTCACGTTCGCCATCTGGTACAGTCTACAGCGATCTTACGAGAAACAATAATGTCCGATCCAAGTAAGGTGCTAGTGGCGAATTAGAGCTCCGGCAACGTGTTCGATGTCCTGCAAAGACTTTTTATGGGTTCTTTCAGCCAACCGGCAATGGCAGATCGCATCTGCCTTCGATCTGAAGCGAAACAAGAAGCATCCTCCACCCGATTTAACTCCACGAGCCGCGGCCCAAGTCAATAAGTGATTCTTCTTTCACGACAGTATCATCAAGAATACGAACAACAACAGCGTCACTGCCAACAGTGCAAATTTTGCATGGAAAGGAGAATACGATTGCATTGCACTTGCCACAACTCAATCATCTGTTGAAACTGACTGCTCCTCCGGTATTGATAAAACACACCCACGATAGCATCTAGTATCTAGTTTATGATGGCTACAGGACACCAGAAACAATACGATGCTTCCTACGGTTACGAAGACGCCACACCTGATGTAGCCAATCGTTATGGACGTCCTTTCACACCACCGCGTGATAACTATAATAATTACCATGAGGAAGCGGGTCCGCGGTACACTCCACCGATTGCTCATGGTGCGGAAGGACGGCGTTCCTCTTTCCAAGGTGCTGCCGCACCACCAGCACAATACGTGGATTCTAGTGGCATTAATTTGCACGACTTTGACAATGCTACTTCGTTGACCATGGGAGGCCCTCGCAGAGCAACCATGTCCTTTGGAGACAATCTGAATGCTCCTCCTGGCTTTCACAGCGGCAGGTCGCGTTCTGGATCGAATGACTCTGATTTCCTAACGTCTTTAATCGGTAATGAAGACGTGAATCCAGCCAACTTGCAGCGCCGGTCCTCGCTGCAGGAAGGCATATACCAACAGAATGACCTTATGATGGGTGTCCAAGATCCGATGGCCGAATATCATGCCCATCAACGCCGCAACTCTCTACAAGAAGCCCTTGCTCGGAATGGAACTTCCCCACCCGAGCAAATGCATAGACCGCAAAACAAGTGGGACCAGCAGCAGCAACACCACGGTGGCGGTCGCCGATCCTCCTTGCCCAATACCATGGGCCAAAGAGGATCCATGGGATACGGCCAAGGCGGTGGTGGTGGTGGTGGTCATCGTTACGATCAAGGAGGTTACGGCGGCGGCTATCCCCAGCAACCAAGAGCTCCCCAACCCACTGGTCCTCTCTATACAGTCAAGCTAAAGCGCAACCAACGAAGCTTTGTCCTCGGTCCTCGTATCAAGTCCAAGCTCGTCACGGGTACCTACGTCAAGGTGGAAGCCGACCGTGGCGAAGATCTAGGTATTGTCATTGGGGAAGCCAGTCCAGATTCTTTGGAAATCCCCTCTCGTCGTGCTTCGTATGGTGGCTTTGAACCACCCCGTCGCAACAACAGTGGCCGCGAGTCACGAGATCAACCCAAGAAAATCTTGAGATTGGCCACTCGAGAAGAGGTTGCTCTACTAGCAACCAGACGCCAAGAAGAAGACGAAATGCACCAACTCTGTGTTCAAAAGGTCCGCGAACGCGGTTTGGACATGCGCATTGTCGATGCGGAATACCAATTTGACCGCAACAAGCTGACCTTTTATTTTGAAGCTGAACGGCGTGTGGACTTTAGGGATTTGGTCCGCGAGTTGTTTATGATTTGCGGGACCCGTATTTGGATGTGCCAAATCAATACCTATGCCACGTCCACGGCGTCGCGCCCATCCAATGAGACTCATGAGGAAGAGGATCACAGCGAGCCCATTATTGCGCCGCCCAGCGAGTTTTTGGGTTAAGTATACACAGTAATGGGGAGAAGGATTAACAGTAAGGAAGGAAGGAAGGAAGGAAGGCAGTGTAGAGGTGGATGGAAGGAAGAGGAAATTTGGATATACAACAATACAGTGTATACAAATACAATATAGAAAGAAAGAAGAGATACTATAATCGCTTACTATACACTACAAAAATATTATTTCTTTACACAGTACGATTGCATGCATTCTTATACCTTTACGGTAACGAATGCAACATATTGTCGCTCATATGGCCCAGAGAGTCTTGTGCATAGAGGTCTTCGTCGTCCTTGCAGTGGCAGAGTTTTTAGCTTCCTTGATTGCCCGGATCCAAGCTGACGAAAAGCATCGGTTTGCGAAAAAGGGTGTTCCCTCATGGCCATTTGGCACCACACATTCAAGCATAGTGCTTTCCGCACCTGCCAACTCAGAAACTAGCCGTGATATGATGGAAGAATTGGAAACACAACAAAGTATTGGAGAGGGCGTTTGACGATGCATTAGTGGTATTTTAAAAAAAACATTTCTACTACTATACCCAGTATCCATCCACTAAAGAATCCTCTTGGATTGCCACCACTGGATAGTCCCCTTTGGCATCCATTAGCTGTTTTTTCAGGACCCCTTCCTGTATGAGATCGTCGATCCAGTATCCATCTTCTAAAGAAATTTTCCCGAGGGAGGCTTCCCCATCGACGCCATCCTCTTGTAGAAAGCTGTCTTTGCTTTTTGACTTCGCTGCAAATTCTGAATTGTTCTTTCTGTCAATCCTCATCTTTTTCGCAACTTGTTCATCCCTTTGGGGCCGTGGTCTTGGACGCAAGCTCCTTCGCAGTTTTGGTAACGACACCCGATCCTTTGTTTGTTGTTGTGCTGTTTTTCGCCGCTTTCTTTGTTTGTGTTGTTGCTGCTGTGATGGGGATCGCTTTTCGGCTTGATTCTCTGTTTTGTCATCTGAAAGCTTATGATTTTGGGGTTGCTTTGGTTGGGTCTGTGACTGCTTCAGTTCGTCTTTTTGTGGTAGCTCTTGTGTCTGCTGTTCAGGTAGGCGGTTATGTACGTTCGGCTGCGCTTTCTGTCCAAGCATATTTTGATAGATACGTTGCTGCAGAATCCTTTGTTGGATATATTGTTGCTGAAGTCGAGTCGATTCCTCTTCCCAAAGCAGTTGATGATAGATTTTCTGTTGAATGATTTTCTGTTGCTGTTGTTGTTGGTATTCTATGAAAAGGCGTGGCTGTTCGATTTGCACCTGCCTAAGGATAGCTGAATTCCTCATCTCCCACGCTAGGAGTCTCTCGTCACTTTCGACCTGCGCCCCGAACATCGTCTTCAATGCTGCTCAGAGACCCGCTTAGTCTCTTTCAGAGCGTGGCGGAAGTCAAACGGCAGTTGCGACGCTTCAAGTCTCGTAAATCGCTCACTAGTGTCACCTGATGTAGCCAATGTGTTCAAGCAAACTCAATTTCATTAGATTGAATCCAGCAACGTCACTGGTACAGTACTCGTACGGTATAATCCAGAAAGTGTTTCTGTTTCTAATCCAGTTTTTTGAATTCGTCTGGTCAAATAATTCGCAATCGTGTTCATGTTCGTGTCGCATCGCATCTGAATGAATCAATCGGGCACGTACCGGTACACGTACACGTACATGTGATTAGTTCGAACGGATCGGAAACTCCTGTTCTACAGGACTACAAAACCATACCGGTAAACGCACCACTGCTGTGGAGACTGAACTTGAAGAGCATCTACTTCCCCCTTTTTTTACAATCGTTTCTGCAGTAGAACTGCCAAACGAAGAGGAGTCTCCCAATCAGTCAGACTCCGCCGTACTAGGATCCTATTATACATCTGTACTTTGTCTATTTTCCTTTATTTTAAAAAGCCACTACACCTCTACGAAACGAATGTACCGCGCTCTCCAGCAAAGCCAAAACGCAGTTTCGGCCTTCCTTTCCGTCTCTAGACATGTCTATTCCTTATTCCAATTCTCTCTCGTAGACGTAGGCGCCACGAATCTTCCAATAGGCCTCTGTCAATCGATCTGCTTCATCGTCTATGAAAGCATTACAGGTGAGAACTGAATCGCCATCAACATTGAACTTGTCGGCTTCCTTTGGACAATCGGCAGCGAATTTGTTCCCTGCAACAGCACCACAGAATGCAGTATTCAGTACCAATCTCATGTTTTTGAAATGATCTGCAGAGCACCCTGATTTATCTCCAATAGCAAAGTACGCATATGGAAGAGGCCAAGTATCTGGATCAGGTAATACACTGGCATCATTGGAAGATGCAGTATCCATCGACTCCTGCAAGTTTTCGGGGATGGAATTTCGCTTGAACACCCAAGACTTGATGTAGCCATTTTCTGGGTCCCATTCCAATGCGTAAACACCACCGCCAACTTCGTTCATTGGTTCCCCGATGGTACCTTGTTCCTTGCTCACAATAATGCATCCTTGGTTCGCCCATTGATGTGGTGCCATCACCCAGCAATTGTCAGCTTCCACTCTATTGAAGGTATTGAGTTTTCCGGTAAAAGTGTCTGGAATTCCAGTTGCCGAATCAAATTTTCCAGTCATTGCATACGCCGGTACATGCGCATACATCGAACACTGATCTGAGGTATGGAGAGCTGTCTTTGCCACTGACTGCGAGTTAATTCCTTCAAGAATATCAATTTCGCCATTGTCTGGCCATGTGGATTCATCCGTGAGCCAAAATGCGGGCCACACGCCACAACCAGCGGGCATGTGCTCGACGTCCAATAAGAACAATCCACGGTCGAATCGCTGTTTCCCTTCCAACCGAATACTCTCTCGGAAACCACCGTCGGCACCTGTTGCCGTTTCAAGATACACAGACTCTTTTCCACTCTCTGGATCTAGGGAGAAATCGATCAAACCCAACTCGTCCGCTCGTTCTCTGCTCACATAGGTTTGGTAACCAGCTAACAGTCAATCAAAGGAGAGGGAAACTGTCAGAATTTGTTTCAAAAAGGGAAAAAATGACAATGGTACACGCAGCCTCAGACAATTACGCACCGGATCCAAGAGAGTCAGCGCCATCATAGAAATCATAATAGTTGAAGAAGCTGCTCACAAACAGAGGGTGAGAATAATGTCGAGGAATTATGTCAAGGGTACTTGGCCGTGTGCGAGACCAACAATAGAACTACGTACTCTTTTCCACTCTGGACCTCAACGATTTTATAAGGCCCCTTCGGTTGTCCATTCGCCAAGGGTGGTCTGATTATGAAAAGCAAAAGGCCGACGATAGCGATAATTGCGGCGCAACCCAAGAGAACTTTTGTTGTGGACTTGCACCTTGTTGTTGATGTTGTCTCTTGTTGATCGCCATCCTCCGCGGACGAAGAACCTTTGCCAAGTAAGAAAGATTTTTCTCCGTCTCCAGATTCCGTTCCTTCCAATCCTCGAGGTGGCATATTGATTTGTATCCTGTTGTGATCGACTTCAAACGCTTTGCTTCGTTCAAAGAACAAAGTTTTGGGTACGAATTCGAAAACAAAGGTGGATATTATTATTTTATCATACGGAGTGTGACGTTGGAGAAATTGGGAGAAATGGGGACGTCTTTGGTGACGTGTGACGTGTTGACACCTCCTTTTCTCGCTTCCTCCATTCACTGGATGGGACTAAATCTGAATCGTCCACAAGACACGACCAAAATTGGCCTTCACAACAACTCACAAAATCTCAAAACCAACTCCTACTTGACACTTGACAACACTGATCACGTCAAACTCATTCCTTTCTAATACGATGTTGACCCAGACCAATTCTTTCCGGAATCCCTTTGAATTGATTGATGAAATGATTGGGGATGTCGAAGTCAATGTCGTCAACAAATTTGCCCAGCGATATGCTGAGGTGAAGCAAGACTTGCAAGATGGATGGAATGATCCCATCTTGCACGACAGACTTCATTATTTTGGAACATCAACCCCGACAAAGGATGAGGATGGATACCTTCCGTCACAACTCGAATTGCAAAAGCGCAAGGAAATTCGATCACTGGAGTATTCCTTGAGGTCCTCAGGTGCCGAACGCTTTCTACAGCGACTAAATGGGGCCACTCAATCCTTGTCAGCCGAAGAATTCTTAAAATACTGCGAGGGACAACCCGAATTGAAAGAATTGACCTTAAAGAAGGAGTTGACTCGAATGCAATACACACTATACACACCAGATGGCATCAAATTAACGGATTCAAAGGAAATTGCCAGCTACATTGAGAATGAATCATCTGAACTATCACAACAACACGAATTGCTTTATCGCGCCAGCAATCAAACCATCTTTGCTGATATTATTGTGGCCTTGACATCTTTTAATGGTCTCATTCGACCCCAGCTTTCCGCTGGGACTTTTGTCAATGATTCTTCTCTGATACTGGACCTGTCAAGTTCCCAACCACATGTCAGAGGCGAATGCTTTTTGAATGTTTCGATACCCGATGGCCACAATAGTCAATTGTCACTCGCCGGAGCCTTGATTGAAGTCTGTTTGTGTCCCGCTCGTAACGAATTCCAGGCCAAAGTCTTGTACCTCAGTCCATGTGGCGAGGAACCTCTAGCAGAACAGCAAGTCAAGGATGCGGCCAAGTCCTTGGCCGAGATTGCCAGCATGTAGGAAAGGTAGTAGAAACACAAAAGATGGGTGCAAATGCTACTAGAGCGTGAATTCCATGTTTCCACTCACAGCCTTCCAGTGTGACAATCATGGCGCCTCTTGCTATGGCGGTATGCGTCCACCAACCCAAAGAAATAGCTTCAACATTATGAAGATTGTATCGATTAGGGAGCTACATTGTATAATATCAATGACATATAAAAAAGAATTAAAGATTGTTATAATAATTGCCTTCAATCCATCTATCTCAACACAGCTCATTTCAGGTTTGTACTGTCCTAGCAAAAGGGTTTGAACGGCCGACGATGGACCAACTTGCGCTGACCAGGTGAGCTTAATAAAATGTATTATTCGTACTAGTACTAGTGCCTGCTACCATTACAAGTGTTAGCATTTTAAAATTATTTGTTTTCGTAATGAATCTAGGACCATATACTTTATCCGTAAGTATCTTCTTCCCCATTGATGCCTCACATCGACATTCGGCGCATGGCTCGTCTGGTCTCTCTAAGGTATTCCTCAACCTCTCGTGCATCTCGTCGAGCTCGCACCCTGGCGTCGATCTTGCTATCAACAGCTGACAGAATGTACAGGTCGGAAATCTGGGACTCATCAAACGCGCAGTTGTCATACTGAATGTCTTGGGCATCCATCACCATGTCGATCGCTGTATCCACTCGCTTTTCCATTCTGTCCTCATCCAAGATATTTTCGAGTCCCCGAGTGTCAATAGTTTTGCAACCCTTCTTCACTTTGTTGGCGTCACGATAGACTTCCATGGCAATGTCCTTGAATTCTTGCGCTTGGAACCATAGCTCTTCCTTCTTACCATCCATCTCCGTGACTTTTTCAACGTGCTTGACGTCGACTTTTTCAATGAAGTTTATGGAACGCCTTCTCTTGATTGTCTTCTCTTGGCAGGGCAATTGGACCTCGATTTCATCCCCCACACAGAGGGATGCGCGACTGTGGGAGGAGCCATTCATTTGCTTCAAAGAACTTCGGCGAACAAACTTAGATCGTGACGTTGGTTGCTGTCTCCTCCTGTCACTGTCAGGGATAGCATCGCCATAACCATAGTCAACTATTTGCTTGGCACTGTCGGGCATAGCGTCGCCGTAGCCATAGTCAGTATCACCTTCTTGAGCCTTCTTCTTTTCGTTCATGATACCAAACTCAGTCGCCACTTCTTCGTCCTCCCTTATATCATCAAGAGAGATTTCACCATCCGTCATACTTGCACTGCTTGCAGACATGTGCCCATAAAGATACGAGAAGCTCTGTTCCACTTCGTCTTCGTCATGATCACATTTTTCGTCCTCCTTCTCCTCATCACTGAGATCCTCTTCTTCGTAGAAGCTCAAGGAATCATCATCGTCAGTCAGCTCCGAAGTAACTGAGCCTCCAGCAACAACATCATGATGGTCACTTCCTTCCCCTGATTCCAAGAAGGCCTTTCGATTTGCTAAAACAGGCTTCTCGTTCTCGCGAGAAGAAGAAGATCTGGGATCAGAGATGGATTGCTGGATGGTCATGTTGACCAGATTTTTTTGGTAGAAATTGTGAGAAGAGCGGTACAAGGTGAAAACAATTGGCTTCCCACATGAAAAATATGCCACAATGACCAAAGAGACTCCGAGGTTTTTTTGTACCATAGTACCAGGTACTCGCGAACTCTGAATGGAAAATAAACGACACAAAAGAACCCGGGACGGCCGGGAAAATCAATATTTACTCTTAAGAATTGTATGCTAAATTTCTATTTCCCGGCCGTTCCCGCTTTTCGCGTGTTTTCTAAACTGTGCATGTCAAAAACTATCGCACAGAAACCTTGAGCAATGAGGAAAACCTCACTCTCGGAATTCTATTCAATATTATAAAAGTAAGGCCGAAGGAAATCGAAAGTCTCAAACCTTCTGGGCTGAAGAGAGGAGGTCTGGTCATTGGTGCATTCATAGAGTACTAACACTTGCGGACCATTCGTTCGTGAGTGACCCTAGCTCAAGAGCCCATAATTCGCACGACACAGAGGCTCTTTTGTGTCTCACTACAGTACCAGTACCTCGTATGTACTTCACCACTAAGGTCAGAAGATACTGTAGTAGCGACGCGCAAAAGACTTTAAAAAAAATGGAGGACATCACTGTGGTACGGTACGGTAGCTATGCGTCAGAGACCTAACGGGTACAGGTAATTCCACAAGAAATCCTAACAGAAAAAGAACCCAGACCTCAATAAACTTGGAACACGAGAAACGACTTTTCATGGTGTCGAAAGAGCAAAATTTGTACCTAGAAAGAAGAGGAAGTTATATCATATGAAACTAAACACAATTCTTCCCACTCGCCATCTCGATCTTCAAAATATCTGAGGAATCACAATCAAATAGGATAGCATTACTAGATAAGGTGCCACTTTCAGACTGTCGACAAGAGCGAAGCTTACCCCCCAAGAAGGGGAGCAAATTTTCCATCACCACGCCGCCGTGTCGTGCCACTCGGATTGTTATTGCCAGCAGTGGTGTCATTACGATCTCATCTAAAAAAACACAGCTAAAAGTAGCTCTACCATCGTGCATCATCCCACAGCAGCCCAGTCTCGAATTATCTTTCATTTATACCATCGAGCAAGGTCGACTAGCGTTTCAATCCTATTCGAACCAATATTTTAAAATGCCCGTCGTGCCGCAATGAAGATCAAGCAAACTGCGTCTTTCCAATGATGACCAATGACCACAACAATAATGAATAATACAGTCCTCAATTCCTCCAATCTCCAATCTCATCTGGTCTGTCACTGCTTTCGACCGCCACCCACGACTGACTAATTGAAGTTGTGAATGATTGATTGATTGATTGATTCGACTTTAAGCTCACATAATTATTGCAATCACACATCATCAAAATCATTCTTCATGATGATGATGATGAACAACAGGATGAATGACAATCAAAAGCAACGGCCAAACCTATGCCGTCACCAGTCTTTGCCTATTTTAGCTTCTTGTCGTCAAAACAAATATACCCCAAATGCCCCGGCGGCGCTCCTCCCCCGTGAAGATAGCAACAACAACCAAGATCATGATGGACATGATTCTTCAGACAACACCGCCGCCCGTGGGAAAGCAAAAGATGATCTTTCGCTGGCTCCGAACGACCGCTGTCCAACTTGCGACACCCAGTTGTACCGAGTATGTAGAGCATTTTGGAGACTGAACCGCAAGAAGAGGCACTTTGCCAAACCACTGACGATTCCTGGTAAAGTTGAAAACGGACGCTGTTTGGTTTGTGTTGAACTTCATTGGGATCAACCACTATTGATCCCGCCTCCACCGCCTCTCAAGCGGCAAATCAATATCATTTATCAAGCTTTCAAGGATGTCTTGTCTGATTCGATTCATAAGCCTTCTTCGAAACCAAAGTTTGTCTATGAGGGCGACTACAATGTTTATGGACAACGCCATGGTGAAGGAAAGGTGCGTCCGGATAGCCGTTGGTATAGGTACGGTACTGACCAGAGTACTCACCCACTTTCATCTACTTCTATATCACTTGTATTTCCATACAATATGGATCAGATGACATGGGACGATGGAAGCAAATATGTTGGGAGCTTCTTCAATGGTCTTCGTGACGGCAAGGGCACACTTTACCTTCAAGACGGTACGGCGAAACTAGGAATGGAATTCCCTGCCATCCAATGTTGGTTCTTTTTTCACTCTCTTTCATCTCATTTCTCTTTCAAGGCTCCGAATATTGTGGTGAATGGCAATTGAATGAAATGCATGGGCACGGAACTAGGCGTTTTGTCAACCAAGACGTATATGAGGGTCAATATAGACGAGGCAAACGTTGTGGCCTCGGCAAAATGCACTTTGTCAACGATGACTTGTATGTTGGATCCTGGGAGAATGATAAATTCCACGGCCGTGGCAAGTACTTTTTGCACTCTCGTGGACTTGCCTTGGAAGGTAACTTTGAAAATGGAAGGAAAACTGGAAAGTTCGTAAGTTCACTTGTGCTGCTTGTGATAGTAGATCCAATATGTTCAATGGCTGACCAAGTACTCACGGTCGCACAATTTGTAGAAGATTCAGCATCCCAATGGAAGTCTAGACATATTCAAATTCGAACGAGGCCTAATTGTAGGACATGGAGTTCGATGGAATGCCAACCGTGATAAGACTTGGATGCTGACCAGACCACATGCTTCCGATGAATGCTGGTACCTCGGACAAAAGGCGAGACAGAAGCGTATTCCAATTGTTGAAGCGGTTTCTATTGGGTACGAATGTGAAGATACTGGAGCATCGCCCGAACCTCTGACGACTATGATAGCTATTTCCACTGCAGTTCCTCGTGTCAACGGCAGAGCAATCATTTAGACTTTTTTCATCACTTCAAATGAAAGTCATATCAGGAATGTGAAGCTGCTACCCGCAACCCACGAGCTAAGTTAAGTGTATGGCACTATATATTATAAAATAAATCGCTAGCGTCTATTTATTGCGTGGCTTCCAGAAATTCGTCCAAATTCTCGTCTTTCCTTTCTGCCTTATACTTGTCTTGATTTCCCCCGACGATAGCTGCATCAGAATTTTTCTTTTCACCGTTGTCGGAAGAAGATGGGGCATCTGCATTTGCCTTGTCCTCAATTGCAGGTTCCTTGAGAGGAAGATCAAAAACAACTTCGCAAAAGTCATCGTCCGTAGTTTGTGTGGACAAGTGGTTCATGGATGGTTCCGTGATCTGCATATTCCCAAAATCATTGTCGGGGGTATCCGGTACTTTTGGTTTCCAACCACGCGCCCTTCGCCGCCGTCTTTCCTCTTCGGTTTCTTCCACCGAGTTCTTCACCAAGACATGATAGGCAACTCGCCGGGCTTCCTGGTGTGCCGCAAATTCTGACATGAGCAAGACTCCATTACCATCGGCATCCCATCCACTAATGGCAATCATATTCGGTACGTCTCCCACAAAAGCACAAGCAATAGGATGTGGAATACCTCGAATTTGACAAATACTCTTGGGTTTTTGGCTCGTGGTACTGCTCAGTAATCTGGAAAATGTTGATTTGGAACTTTTCTTTTTGCCGTCCTCAGTTTCCTGTTTGCAATGGAAAACATGCACTGTACCCTTATCACTGCAACTGCCAAGCCATTGATCATCCCACGAAAATGTCAAACAGGTAATCGTCGCCCGTTCCACCCCACGACGGAATTCGTGAATGCAAGACTTGCTCGCAATATCCCAGACTCGAATAATGGTTCCCTTGACGGAGGCAGTCGCCAATTTGTTTCCATTGGCAGTCAAACAAAGTCCACGCAATTCACCGTCATGTGCCTCTAGTAACACGGTTTTGCGGTGTGCATACAATTCCACTCGTACATGGCCGGGCGTCACGGAGGGGCACGCCAATACCATTTCCTGTACTTGGGTACTCAGACAGAGTAGTCCATGAGGATTGTCTGCTGTGTATATTTTGTCCCTTAGAGTCAAATCCGTCAAGTTATAAATATAGACACGATCCTTGAGCGCGATGGCAATGGCATCCTTCCGCAGTTTGACGCTGAGCACGACTTGACGAAAACTGAGTTCTCCAATTTCCTTGGGAACGTGATCATCCCAAATTAAGACCCGGTGAGGAGCTGAATGAGGCGTGGAACCTCCTTTTGATTAAGAAATGATTTGAAACGAATTGAATACAAGTGAAAGATGAGACCTTTGCTTCGGATGCTACACCAAAAGGCAACACAAACGGACGGAAGTTGAAGAATTGCACGTACCTCCCACAAGGGCCATCAAGTTGCAACGAAAGAGCATTTCCACTTGACCAATTCCTCCTCGGAGTTCTCGTTCCACAGTTTGAGAATATTGTGGATGTAGATTGTGTACGGAAAACCCTGTTGTCGTTCCCACCGCCAAACAGCCTCCGTCTTGATTAAAAGAACATGTCAACAGGGAACTGGAAGGTCGATGTTGAACATCATCCAAAATGTCGTCGTCCATATTTTTAAAGCGCGTTTCTGTTGAAGAATAGATTTATGCTTCTGGCTTGCTGGTTTCAGTATACTCGTAGTGATTGTGCACACCAAACCTTGCAACGTGTCATGTACATAAAGGATAAGAAGGGGTTATAGAGAATCAATATCTCGAGGTTTAATTTCAGTTGAGTCTCGTAGCATTTTTGAGCCAGAATTTCTCCAGGACTAAAATTCAGTCGTCGTAGTCATACATTGTTCGACTGAGCCGATCGAATTCTTGCACGAAAGAATTTTTAAATACCGGTAGGTACCGGTACACTTGAGTCCTCCCACGTCTTGAACTCACCGACAATCACTGTCTAAAGTCGTTGGAAGTGCATCAGTAGGTAGAGTTGGTAAATGATGCATACTTGTGTATTTTTGTGTATCATGTTATGTTATAGTCCTAATTTGAAATTTACACGGGACCTTGAGGAGCTTGTTGCTAGTACCACTGTTGTCTGCTATTGACTCATTACACTTTTGGTAGCCATAGTGGCGTATTGGAAGTGTTTAGAGTCTTTGTCTGGTTTTGCTCGCACCTCTCGCATGACTGGGACACTTCTGTTAGACCATGTTCCCTTGTAGGAAGAAAAGAGATCAGAGATAGCAGCAACTTGGGCTGCAGCAACGGCAGGTGCTGAGATTTTGCCGAGAATCTCGCTCATCTTCTCCGATACGTCTTTGCCGCTTAGCTTTTGGTATCGTTGCATGCGATGCACAGCATTGTACAAGTTTTTGCAGCTCACGTCTTGGCTTCTCTTGTATTCAATGGTGTGTTGGTCCAATCCACGAAGAAAGAAACCATCACCACCACTTGCGCCACCCTTGTTGACATGCTTCACGATTCCTGCACATTGCTTGCGGATGGCACGGAGCTCTTCGTGCCCGTAGTAACATTCTTTGATCTGTCTGTCAGAGAAGTCATTCACATGTGGAATGGACCTTACTTGATCATATTTGGAGAAACGAATCTTGGTTTCTTTGGGTGCAACGTATTTTCTCGCGAGGGGTGACATTGGTGTTGCTTGACGAGCTGAAGATGACATGATGGATTTTATTTCTTGGCGCGAAATAATGAGATGAATAAACCGCAAAATACATTCATTTACTCCGGCACTTCGCAAAATTCGGATCTTTTCTCTTTTTGAGAGAAGCATGATCTCTGGAAAATAACATGGAACATAAATGTTGGACTTAAATCTGACGCGACACTGATCGACCATGGAAGGATTCCGTGACGAATCATGAGCAGATGGAGCTCTTCGAACTTCTTGGTGTGTCAATCCCAAGCCAGTCTCCGCTCCTGGCTCCTCTCTTCCCTCTGCTATCGGTAGGTTTAGGAGTATATTCCATCTTTTCTTCTACTTCTACTAACTGGCTGCTACAGCAACAAGTACTTGAGTATTTGTTGGCCCTTCAGAATTGGAATTCAATCAGTAGCTTTACTTGCTCTAATGTATCAGTACTCCTGCTTTCTGTATCCTGTTACCAAGTTCAAATACAGTTACTGTAGAACGCGTGGTGCCCCATCATCACAGTCCGAACAGGCTCTACTCCTCTGGTTGAGCCGGCGAACAGATGAAAGGAATTGTCACCACGTATGGCTTTTCGACTAACGAGCCAATAAGCCTTCTTTTGCATATCTTTCAGTATTTCTTGTTAAACTGGTGCATCGCTGCTACCGTCCCTACCGGTATTTTATAAATCCAGCACAAGGGTTCTAGGACTAAACTTGAATCGTAGTAGTCGTAATCGTTCGAATTTTGGAGATACAGTAGAAGGTTACTTGCTTGGGTACGCTTGCACTCCTCCCACGTCATGAATTCACCGACAAGTCATTGTCTAATATAAGATGCAAAAGCAGGCAGGATTTGGTATAGTACTGTATACAAGTTCTATCTTTTTTATGTTTTAGTTTACACGAGGAGCTTGCTTGCAAGAATTCTTGGGTGTTTTGTGGTTGTTCCCATATAGTATAACATAGCGGTAGTAGTGTTGTCTAGACTACTATTGGCTCATAACATCTTTGGTAGGCATGGCGTATTGGAAGTATGTAGACGCTTCGTCTGGCTTTGTTCGAGCTTCTCGCATGACTGGCACACTTCTGTTAGACCATGTTCCCTTGTAGGAAGAAAAGAGATCAGAGATAGCAGCAACTTGGGCTGCAGCAACGGCAGGTGCTGAGATTTTGCCGAGGATCTCGCTCATCTTCTCCGATACGTCTTTGCCGCTTAGCTTTTGGTATCGTTGCATGCGATGCACAGCATTGTACAAGTTTTTGCAGCTCACGTCTTGGCTTCGCTTGTACTCAATGGTGTGTTGGTCCAATCCACGAAGAAAGAAACCATCACCACCACTTGCGCCACCCTTGTTGACATGCTTCACGATTCCTGCACATTGCTTGCGGATGGCACGGAGCTCTTCGTGCCCGTAGTAACATTCTTTGATCTGTCTGTCAGAGAAGTCGTTCACGTGTGGAATGGGCCTTACTTGATCATATTTGGAGAAACGAATCTTGGTTTCTTTGGGTGCAACGTATTTTCTCGCGATGGGTGACATTGGTGTTGCTTGACGAGCTGAAGATGACATGATCTTCCTCGTTACTTGTTGTTGTATTGTGCTTTTTGAAATTATGGGGTGAGGAGTAAATACATTTTTTACTCCGGCATTTCGCAATTCGGATGATTGTTTTCTCTTAGAGAACTTGTTCGCTGGAAAATATCATAGAACATCATTGTTGGACTTAAATCCACGATGACTGCGGCGATTCGGAATGAGTTGTTCGATGAGAATCATCGTGAGAAAGAATAGAGCTCCTCGTCGAACTTCGTGTGAGCAGGCAACTCCTCCATCCTCCGCCAGCATATGATTTCTGTCCATACTCTGTACTATACCTGGTGCAAATTACGTACACGAATACTGGTACTGGTATCTTAGCGTCTCCGCTGTACTGTCTCTTCTGCTACCTGTGCAGTACCGGTAGTACCGGTACCGTTACATTGCATCATACCCAATGCTGCTGCACAGCATGTGCCTGCAATAACAAATACTTGAGTTTTTTTTGGCTTCTTTTCAGTATTGGAATTCAAATTGTTGCTTTACTTGCTCTACTGTCTCGTATTGGTGCTTTGTAGACTATCTGTATGATATCTTTCCGAGTTCTTGGTTCAAATACAGTTAGAATGTGGGTTCTCCATCAAAGCTCGAACCGGTTCTGCTCCTGCATGTGGTATCATGGTTGTTGAATTTGGCGAACAGATGAAAGGAATTGTCATGATGCATGGCTTGTCGACTAACGAACCAAGCCTTCCTTCGCGTATCTTTGAGCATTTCTTTGACACCCTGAGTGCATCGACAGTTGCATGACCGTCATGCCTCTCCGACCCACCTTCAATTTCAATACTGTTACCACAAATGCCGAGACACATGTGTGATATATGCGATTTAGGTTGTCGTCATCATCTGGTTCGCAAAGTTCGTTTGCGAACCTTCAATCAGATCGAAGCAGTGTGGGTATTACATTTAACGAAGAGGAATTTAGGAACGATCTGAAAGAGAGTCATTTCACTGTTTCACTATTAAATCAAAAAGAGTGAAGGTTCGCTTGGTTTTCAAACGGAACTGTCCTGAAGTCACAATTCTCTCTTTCAATTCTCCGAGATCTCGTCCTGGTAGACTTTGTGTACATTGAGCTTGGCTTCGCTGGTGCTATCTTCAAAACAAAAACCCACTTCGCCTTCTTCGTAGAAAACAAGTACACCACGTACATGTTTTGTCCAGGGACGGCAAATTCGCTCCAGTGTCGAACCAACTAAAACGATTCGCACTTCTTTGATATTGCATGCCTCTTTTCCACAACATTTTACAAAGTGAAAACTAACCTTTTCTCTTATAACAATAGACACCATGGCCGCCACAGAACAAGTAGCCGTACAAAACAAGATACAGAACTTGCATAATCTGCAGTTTCCTTGGAAGCTGCACCGCCTCCTAGAAGAAGCAGAACTTAGTGGAGACTCCACAATTGTTTCGTGGCTTCCTGGAAACAAAGCTTTCAAGGTTCACAACCGACAAGAGTTTGCCAATCGCATCATGCCTGCTTACTTCAGTTCCGCCAAGTACAAGACTTTTCAACGCTCGCTGAACCTGTGGGGCTTTGAATCCGTCTCCAAAGGACGAGACAAGGGAGCTTGCTTTCACAAGTTTTTTGTTCGAGGTCATCCAAGCTTGTGCGAGAACATGCGTCGCATCAAGATCAAGGGTCAGCAAGCCACAAAGACGACCTCACCTACTACTCTGCCAAATATTACTGGCATGACATCTTCTGGCTTGATCTCTGCTGCCGAACCCAATATTGCGGACTTTATCCGGAATCGAAGAGGTTCCCTTGATAATTCTGGTGTGCCTCAGGTGGAGTGCATCCCACAACAACAACAACAACAACAACAGCAACTACCTTCTACCTTTTCACTATACCAAAGTGATCTATTCTTGAAGGCAGCGCTTGAACGCCAACAGCGAGAGGCTTTGCTGAGACTGCAGTTGCAAACCCAATTGCCTGGATTCAATTTCGGGGGTTTCCCAAGTATCCTTCAACAAGCGCAACAGAACGCCCAACAGAATTCAGGAAATTTCCAACAACAAAGACAACAAGATCCGCTTCATACAGTCGCTCTGGCAGCTGCACTGGCCTCGAAGGTCGTGCATGAAGTCTAGGGTATGATTTCATTTCATTTTTGCACTTTGCAAAAGAGATAGATTAATGCATGAGAGATGAGAGTAACACTAGATATGTACATTATATCCTACTTGACATGTAATAAATTCTACTGAGGTATTTATTGATTGATCGATTTTTATTACAGTACACATTTGAACGATACCGGTACATTTGTCGTTGTGTCTTTGTCTGATACACTTCCGAAGCTTCGTTGTCGTTTAATTGGACAAAGCTGATGCTTTGTGATGACGGGAGCTGGTTGTTTTGTAGCATGACGAAAGCAGTCAGTAGAAGATCCAATATTGTGATAGGTATATGATGTGCCCTACTTGCCCATGTACCGCACAGATTGTTCGCTGTCTACAAAAAAAAGGTCGAGATGGACACATAGCTTCGTTCGTTGACAGGTCTACTCATCTCTTGAACTACTTTGAATGAGTCTGACTATTTGGTTTCAATAAAGCATGCATTCTCAAATGCTTATTGATAGTATCTAATTATAATTATCTACGGCTGTTCAAAACAATCCTTTCAAAGCAGAAAAATAGAGCTGGCACTCTCTTGAGGCGTTCCCTCGCAACCATCCTCCGCGGAAAGCCACATGCTGTCTCCTTGGTCCATGTGTAGGTAAAATCGGTGATGCAGAGCAAAGGCATTCTTTCCAAAGTTTTCCTGAAAGCTTTTGTATCCTTCTTGAACCAATCGGACACCGTTTCTCCAATCCCGTCCACTATCATGCCCCCAACCATCATAGCCCTTAATTTCAGCAGAGGTCCATCCTTGTGGATCGTCTCCATCTGCCAGACTCAATTGGAGGACCATTCCCATCCCCCCTTCCGCATTTTCAACTTGGCGAATCTCTCGACCATGGAATATGTGAACATTATCAGCGAGCGAAGTTCTTGAATACTCGGGGGTTCCAGACATGCGAGGAATTGTAGCGGGGAAAATGACTGGTTGTTGGTCCTTGTTCTTAGTGGAAGAAGCAGCTACCTCACCAAGATAGTCACGCAACTTGTCCGTCAATGCTAATTGGAACATCATTCCACCGCAAAAGTTAAATGTCGCTTTGGAATCGTGCAAATCTACCAAGTATTGGGCAATGTTGCTGCCGTACTTTTCATCACGAGCCGAAGGCGCATACAAGGCTTGTGTTGTTTCACTGCTGCTGCTCAAGCTGTTCAGCGTGGAAACAGTTCTAAGGGTCCCATTGGGACTGAAACCGAGGGTCGATTGAGACACCAGCAAGCAAGCGAGGACGATTTGTGAAAGATGAAACATTGTAGTGAGAGAGTTTTAATTTAATAGAACCAGTTTCAATGATTGCGTGAGGTTACATTTTCTTTCTTCTGGAGTCGACCGATTGGACTCTCGGTGCACCTTCACACGTACGTCGTACATACCGGCACCTCTTCAATATCAGTACACGTGTACCGGTGCCTGTACGGTATCATCATCTCGTACAATGGTACCAAGTACCAGTACCAGGTACCGGGTACCGCGGTATCTGATATCCGCCATCTAAACAAAATCCATCACTTCCACATCATCATCACTTCCACATCACCATGACACCCGAGATTGCCTTGACAATTGACCAGAATCTATTCATCAGAAAACCAATCCCCGAGAAAGGGATTGTCTGTTCTAACGCCGAACGAGCCGAACGTATTGCATCCGAATACCTGTCATCGGTCGAAACGTTCTCCTGTTCCTGGGGCGCTCGAGTTTGGATTGGAAACTACCAAGAAAACACAAAGGAACGCCTCTTTGTGGCTCTAGCGCCAGTAGGTTCGGGGTCTGGGTTAGTCTTTACCGAGCTCTTCTCAGCGGGAGCCAAGTTCTTGGTGAGATATGGGAGCGACGATGCCAAGAATCCAGAGCCATACGAATATAAAAATTGCGTCAAGCTTATTGACGAAACGGACAATCTTTATGGATATTGTCAAGCGAGTGGAGTGGATCCATCCGAGTGGGGTGAATCTGTAATGGCGTCACCTGTACTACTCAAAGCATTCCTAGCAGAAGGAAACAAGAGGGATATGATAATTGAACGACGGATATGTCACCACTTGGAAAATTATCGTAAGTCACGATGATGGTGATGATGATCACTCTGTTCCATTGCGTCTTGTGGATTCTCCCAGAAGGCTGGTTTTGACGCTCCAATTATCTGATGAAATCCAACTTTTCAATACTACCACCTGATCACCAGACTCTCTTCGGAATCCGAATGTATTTCCAAACCGCAAAACAATACTAGAGAAACAATTGGCTGACCTAAAAGAGAAAGCCAATGGAAAGAAGGAAAGCTTTGATATGGAATCAGCAGTTCTGTTTCGATGTGCCAAGGATTTTGGTTTTCATGCGTTGACGGTTTTACAGACCGTCAATAAGGAGGATAAGGACTGCGATCCCTACGAAGGCAAGCACCGGGAAGCCGCTCTTAAAGATGAACAACAAGTCTTTGTCGATTACATTTTCACTTCACTTTTGTCAACTTCCTGAAAGATGAACAAGAAGGAAGCCTTATTTGGCCTTTACTGTACGTTTTCACTTCACCGGTGTCAACTTCAAGGTAACACTTTGGGGAAACCGATGTCGATATTTGTCAAACGTAACTACTGGTAGTGTACTGGTACTGTGAGGTCATGACGAATGTCCGTGCTTTTCTTGTAGCTTCTCCGCAAGGAATCTTTTCGCCATTATCGGCTTAAACACGCTTCTATTCAAGAATAGCGGGCGCAATTTTAAATAGAGATTCTTCTTCTACCTGCGAATTGCGGCAGAATGTCAAACGCTTTTATCAATCGCAATATTTGTCGTAGACTTCGCGAACCTTTGTGATTGGTAGCTCAGCACGGACTATAGTCCATCAAGGTTCCCATCCGCCGCCCTTGCCAGTACGCAGTTTCTGCCGCGGGGAACAAATATTTGTTTTTTTCATCACGGGCTGCAACGCAACTGTTTCCTTACTTTCTACTCTAAAAGATAAAAAGTACTGACAAGCTGTACCTTGAAACTAAGCAGCAATACTGTAATATGCGGTCGCTACCGGCGTCGGAAGCCGTTCTTCGCAACATGAAGATTGCCGAGACTGCCAGGGTCAAAGACGGTCAAACAACTTCCTCTGGGGTCAATTTGGAGGCGGAGATTGCTATATTACGGCGTCAATTGTTACAAGCAACGGTGGAGAACTCGCGCAAAGACACAGTGATTGATTCCTTGGAAAAGAAATTGAGTGGTGAAGCGAAGAATGAAAGTCATAAACAAATGAATGGTTATCTGAATGGTCATCTGAACAGGCCTCTCAGCCCAGCCGGTCGCCGGCGTAACAGTGGCAGTTTGAGGGGCAAGAAGTCGCAATCGTTGTGGAACTTGAGCCAGTCTGAACGCTCGAACACCTCCTCTCTACATGCAGCAGAAGATGACGACGGAGAAGAAGTACAGGATGCAGAGAAAGTAGTAAGCGAAATTCAGGGATGGTTATTTATGGAAGGGGGCACATTACGAGACGTCGATTCTTTGCTGACCCGCTACTGCGAACTTTGCCGGAAACATGGAATACCGTTGGATCGCTTATTTGTCGCTGGAATGATGATGCATCCACACACTTCTGCCTGCGTTTGGAAATGGGAATTAGGATGTGATTTCACAGAGGATGTTGTCCCTCCGGAAGCCTTTGAACCTCAGAATTTCAATGAAGAGGAACCATTCGCGGTGCTGATGCAAGGCAAGGCGATGGAATATAGAATGACTAAAGACGATGAAATACCCGCCGGCTGTGACTGGTTCAAGGATGGTGGATTTCAAGATTACTACGCACTTCCAATGTACCACAATGGAAAGTTCAAAGGAGCCATGGCGTGGAGCACCAAATGTCGGTATCACTTTTCGGACGACCACCAAAGAATTTTCACACAGTCTCTTGGGGCTCTTTCCACGGTATTGCGACTGTACGCCAACGACTTGGTGATTGATAATGCCATGCTGCGGTTGGAAGAAGCGGTCCAAGCGCAAACCAGTATGCTTGCTGAAGCAAATCAAGAACTTGAATTGGCCAATCGAAAAATTGTCGATCAAGCCCAGAAGCAACTGAAACATTTTGCCATGATGAGTCACGAAATCCGAACCCCACTAAATTGCATTGTTGGTATATCGAATCTGATGTTGGATTCATGTGAAGATGATGCGATGAAAGAGTCAATAGAAATGATAACGAGCAGTGGAGATCTCTTGTTGGCCGTGGTCGACGATGTTTTGGATTACTCCAAATTGGCGGCTGGAAAAGTGGAAACCAAGATTGCACCCACCAAGCTCAATGTTCCCGTCAATACGGTCGAGACTGCCATTCGTACCAAGGCGATTGAAAACCGAGTGGAGCTTCGCACCTTTTACAGCCCAGACTTGCCCGAATTCGTGGTGACGGACGCCAGAAGACTCCAACAAATTCTTTACAACTTGTTGGGCAATGCGGCCAAGTTTGGAAGCACTGGCAAATACATTGACTTTTCCGTTGTCCTTGAGCCGACGGATAGAAATTTTTTACGGTTTTCAATAAAGGACTATGGAAGAGGAATTGCCCCCGAGGAGATGCACAACATGTAAGTCATTGCAGTAGATTGTGTTGTGGAATGCTGGCTTGTTGACTCACGACGACGTCAACGTTTCAGTTTTGAACCATTTCGACAATTGGCATCCAACCAACCGAGTCATGGGGGAACAGGACTGGGTTTGGCCATTACTCGCCAACTTGTCCGGGCGTTAGGAGGCAGCGTTTCGGTGCAAAGTGATTATGGACATTGGTGCGAATTTATTGTTTGTTTGCCATGCGATTCGGGCGTCCGAAGGCCAATGGGGGCATCCGCGGTTCCAAATACCTTGGTGCAAGATGGCAGTCAAAGCGAGAGCCACATGGACGATTATGATGACGAGGACGAAAGCGACGACGATGATGCGGGAAGTACCGGTAGCATGTCGATCGAATCTTCCACCGAAGGATCCTCTTATGCTGATATGCCTTCCACCACTAGCTTTCAACGACTCGTGAACGAAGCAAGCCGACGACAAGTAAATAGTATGACGGGTGATACGCGGAATCATCAAATGAATCCATTGGCTCCGACGGCCGTTGCCAGTCTACACAAACTGCGGACCAACCTTTTATCCTCCTCGAGTCTAAAATCGGGCAGTACCGGCGGTAGCAGCCTCGCTTCGTCGAGTGGATTTGGTAGCAATGCGTCCTCGCTCCTTGGCATCAGCGGATTGAACAGAAACAGGCAACAAGGAGGAAGCAATACTTCTTTACGGAATGTACAGTTCCAACACTTCAACAAGTCACCCAAACAAACTCTGGGATTGGATGGTTTTTCGGGCCGCACGGGGAGTTTTGGTCAATTGGGCAATGCCATAGGTCGGAAACCATCCGGGTCGAGGAGTGTGCGACGTGGTGACAGGAAAAGTGGCGCAAATCCGCATCGGAGTGCCTCGCTCAAGAGCCGCAAACGTCCGGTCATGACTCCTAGACGCGGCAGTGGCATTACGGGCGGTACCATTTCGTTGGTGGGAGTAGTGGACGAAGAAGGAACCCCAAGGATTATTCCCGCAAAGAAGCCCCCCACGATGGAGCCGGAAAGTAAGAAGCGTTCAGTACCCCCCACCAAAGAGGAGTTCACAAAGCCTACCATGAAGAATAGCACCGCCACTGCAAGTAACACCGCCGCTGCCAAGGCCAAGGCCAAAGACGCGACGACAGCAACATCTACGACAACGACAACCACAACGACGACGACGACGACAACCACAACAAAGGAAAAGAACAATTCCAAAGAATCATTAGAGAGTCAAATGGGAACCATAAAAGTCTTGGTAGCCGAGGACAACAAGATTAACCAAAAGGTTTTGCAACGAACACTGATACGTGTGGGAATTAAGGAAGACATTGACATTGTGGAAAATGGCAAGTTGGCCGTGGAAGCCTCCGACGACAAGGTGTACGACATTATTTTCATGGACATGCAAATGCCCATCATGGATGGTTTGGAGGCCACCTCGATCATTACCCGACGAGCGATTCATCCCAAGATTGTCTTTTTGACGGCACATGCCTTGTCGGAATATCAGGAAAAGGCCCATGAAGCCGGTGGGGATTGTTTCATTAGCAAGCCCTTCAAATTGGATGCGATTCGGAACATCATTCAAAAGTTGGTCCTGTCGCCGCAAGAGGAGGAAGAATCGGAGGAGGAAATATAGCCTCCTGAGAAATTTTGTATTTTAGAGTGTTACGAATTTCCTTTGAAGAATGTCTATTAGCGGTATTTATATTGTCGTGAGGGGCTCATGCCTACATCAATGTGTTGGGTTTGTGTTTTAGTTCATTTTGCAATCTTCTCGCTCTTTTGTTCTCTCCACTGTTCCGTTCAATCAATCAATCGACGACTGACGACTCGACTCCTCCGATTGTCCATCACCAGTTCGAGCTAAAAATTATTTTTCCTGCCGCCAGTGCAAACGTACGAACGCCCGTAGAACCTTTTTGGCTGATCCGCACACACGACACGAGCAAAGCCACCGGCATGGCATCATCGGTTGCAATTTCAAAGGTTCTCTCAACAACTGTGCATGAAATACAACAACAACAACAACAACAACAACAACAACAACAACAAGAGCATGATCCTTATTGGTAATGCAAGTGCTTGCAATCCTTGCAGCAATAATGGACCACAAGAAGCGCAACAAAAACAACAAAAACAACAACAACAACAAGAAGCACTGCCCGAAGAGTTGACCTGCAGCATTTGCAAAGAACTCGTTCAAGCCGCTGTTCTTATAGACAAATGTCGGCACTCCTTTTGTTCCTTTTGCATCCGATTGGACTTTTCCGCACAGTCCAAAAAGCTCAAATCTAAAGTATGCTGTCCTTGGTGTCGAGCCGAAATCTATCCACGGGGTGTCAACAAGGCCGACCAGCATTTGACTGCCAACTTGGAGTTGCAGGAACAAGTCTTTCATTTCAAACAGCAGCAATCTTTATTATCATCACAATCACGGCAGCAGTCACAAGCCAAAAAAGAAGTTGATGAATCATCATTGCCATCACCCCTTAGAAGGTCTACTCGCCATTCAAATAGCCCACCAAAGCAGCAACCACAACCACCATCGCAAGAGTCACAGGTATCACTGTACAGCAAACGAAACCCTCCATTGCCAAAAATGCGAGCGGTCCACTATCAAGGCAAGAAACGAAAAGACTTGATTGCCTTATTAAGGCCCTACGGTTTGCCGTGTGCAGGTACAGAAGATGAACTCAAGAATCGACACACCCGCTTTGTCACGTATTGGAATTCCTGTTGTGACGAACAGGTGGATCCACCCTCGGAAGCAACAGTCATTCAACAATTTCGATCCTCGGAAGTCAAAAAGGCATCGGCTACTGCTGCTGGCAATAGTATTACTCTGATGATGGCTAGCAGCAGCAACGGCAATAGTAGCGGTAGTAGCGGTAGTGGCCGAGTGAATAGTATTAATGCTGCCGACGATAGGGCTAGACTCCTTCAGGAGCACGCCGAAGGATTCCGAGCGATTCACGAGAAAATCTTGGAGGACTCTTGCGACCAATGGTGCAATGCGTCGTTCCGCCTGGCCATTGCGGTCCTACAATCTCATCCAATGATTCAAAATGACAGCTTTCGCGATTGCCTACGACAACGAGCCATGAACGAAAACCACCAAGAAATACCAATCCAAGACTTGCTTTCGGGAGAGGTTCCAATACCAACAACAATTTTTGAGAATATAGACCACGAAAGGATCAAGCGAAACAGTCCTTCCGTTCCCACCAACATGCCGACTGCCAAGAGACCCCGGATCGAGGCTCCAGCAACTCCTGTTGGGGCTCCAATTTCAAATCCTTACAGCAAAAAGAGACAAAGCAACAGCATTCATCAGCCGCCGACCGCAACTGCCAGAGACGCCAAGCTGGTGAACCATGCTGCACCCATGTTGGGTTCCACCGCTCTCCGAAATTATTCACCGTCACTGCCGGAAAATCCCTACCGCAAAAGCTGCAACAACACTCCGTCAACAGCAACCAAATCCATGTCGACTGTTGGGTCACCGGCGGCTGCCACAGCCAGCCTTCCTTCCAGATCGCCGCCCCGGAATCCCTACCGCAAAAGCGTGAACAACACCCCGTCAACAGCAACCAAATCCATGTCGACTGTTGGGTCCCCGGATACTACCACAACCAGCGTTCCTTCAAGATCGCCGCCGCGGAATCCCTACCGCAAAAGCGTGAACAACACCCCGTCAACAGCAACCAAATCCATGTCGACTGTTGGGTCACCGGCGGCTGCCACAACCAGCGTTCCTTCAAGATCGCCGCCGCGAAATCCCTACCGCAAAAGCTGCAACAACACTCCGTCAACAGCAACCAAATCCATGTCGACTGTTGGGTCCCCGGCGGCTGCCACGCCGGTGGAAGCAGCCAAAAAAGAGGCTTCCACGACAACATTTAAATCGATTAGTGTTCCCATGTCTGAACCACCGCCACACAAAGCAATAAAGGCTGCGACGACAAGCGTCATGCGGCCCAATGATGCTTCTCACCAAAACAGCAACCATAACAACAACAACAACAATAACATTCAGCAGAACAATTCCAATGCGAGCAAGAGTAACAGCAAGCCATCTCCCTCGACCGCTATTTCCCAAAATGATGCATCCCAACCTCGCAATGCTGTTAGCCCACCAACCGTTGCCACATCGTTCTTTACGAAAAAGACGACTCGTCCAAAATCCAAATGGGAATGGACCTGCCAAGTTTGCATGTACGAAATGAAACTGGACCCGAGGGCGACCAAATGTGCGTGTTGCGGGAAACCCAAAGGAGCCACCCTGGAAGATGCCTTTTCCGAACATCACCAGAATAGCATCAGTCAAACACAGCAGACGCAGTCATCGAGTGCTGGATCACAAAACGATCCGATTGAAATGTGTTGATAGAAACGAGGAGACAGACGCTCTGTCTCCTTTTTCGAAACTACCAATGCTGAAACAATCAAGAATATTCGAACATCTATCTTATCATTTAAAAAAATCATGCAAGTGTTTATGCTTTGTAGTGAGTTTGATTCTCGTCGGACTCGTCTCCAGAGTCACTGCCGGTAATATCAGAAGTCACAACTTGACCAGATGGGAGTATTCTCTTGTAGCTCTCTGGTGATCCTACCGATAAGGCGGAAGAAGTACGTGCGGAATCATCGGGCTCGAACCTACGGGCTGGTACTTCAATTGCTGAATCGTCAGGTGAAGGAGTACGAGTTGGTACCTCAACAGCTGAATCGTCGGGTGAAGAAGAGCGAGCTGGTACGTCAATGGCTGAATCATCGAACGAGGGTTCCTTTGGCTGCGAGGAGGGGCCTTGCTGTTGCGTCAGAAGTTTCGTCAATTTGTCAATAGATGATTCCAAATCATCCATTTTCCGATTCAGATTTTGATTCTGTGCCAACAGAGTCAGGTTATCCGAATTTTGTTTCGTGATCTTCCCTTCTAGTTCGTCCATTCGCTTGGTGACGGTATCGTGAACCTTGCGTGTCTCGATAATCTCTGACTTGGTATCAATTATGGGAGGACGGAACTTGATTCCGAAAATGTCTTTGCGAATCTTGAATGGCCAAAAGTATCCGAAGGTCACCCACCCAAGGCAGAAATAGACAGCATATTGCGTTACAAAGAAGAAGTACAGCCCGATTCCATTCTTCTGGGACGGATCATGAAATCTCTCCATCCGGTCCGACCGAGCTTGATCAAATCGGTCGCTAAAGGTGTTTAGCCTCATCAATTTCTTCATCTTCTTCGCCGATATCTGAGCCTTGCGGCTTAGAGTGACATCTTGAATAAAGGTCAAGCGATACTCCCAGAAAACTCGTAGCGCCTTCTCCTCTTCGGTGGACTTGTCCCAAGAAATACTGATCACAGCAATCACCACATTCAGAAGAACAATGGTTGTCACCACTCCAAAGGCTGCGTCCAGCATAGACGCGGTCTCTTCTGGTGCATCAACAAACATTTGAAAAACTGACAAGAAAGAGACCCATAGGGTACTGAACTGCAATTGATCCGGCGGCAATGGGTTGTTTCGATCAAACTTGGATACGTGGTACATAAAAGCGAATGCTAGTAACACCAGTGAAGTACAGACCATGAATGGGAGCAGTGTTTTGAAGAGCTATGGGATGGTAGCAAGATTAAAAAGTGTGAGAAATGGAAAGGATGTATGCTACTTGCATTCAGACAACATCAATACGCACCATCATTAGTCCACCAACAAAAGTAGCAAACGGGAGAAAGATTTTCTTCAAGAATGATGCAAAATGCAAAAGCTGGAATGCATTTGTCACCATGAGGACAGTTCTTGCACGTTCGTTGTAGCCACCACTTGGATCATCAAGCAGTAAAATCGTAGCGGAAGTTGCCACCAAGCAAATGACAGCCACATCTACCCAATTCCAAATCTCTTTTACATAATCCACGAGAACTTGTGCCTTGATATATCTACGGACTTGCTTAATCTCCCGAACCAGGAATATGAGTGTAAAGAAGTAGAGAGCATAGGCATAACCATCCGTTCGTTTCCCCTTCAAGTACAAACTCGACGACTGCATGAGGATCGCAATCCAGGCGACTTTACAGTAGAAATCCCGCATGATGGAAGATATTACTTTCTGTTGACAGAAGGCCCACGTCAACCATTGTATGCAAACTTTTTCATGTAAGTTGTTGCAAACAATTGTTTGAAACTTCTTTGGCGGACAGTTATTGCAAATGGAATCCATCGCCATAAAGGTTTCCTCGATGTTTGCGTCCTTTTCCCTGATCAAGCTCTTGAACATATTTTCCGTAAAGGTTTGCATAGCACGGCTTTGAGACTTTCTATTTTGTCCGCTAGATACTCCAGAACCAAAAATGTCCAAGGGCAGTCGGCCTTCCTTATCCGGGACATTGATGTAACTTTGTCGGTTGGAATCTTTTGAGACGAGCTGCACAACGTCAAAAGAGGCGAAGGCTCTACATGCGATGTGTATGGGAAGGCTCCCATCCTTTGCTCTATGACTCAGGGTAATGATATCACTCTCATCTCCAATAAACCATTTGACAGTCTCGTATGGTGCTTTCCGTCGGCAAGCATGATGTAAGAGCAACATTCCCTTAAAATCTTGCATCAGTATCAGACGACTCCAAACAAAATCATCGTATTTTGTTTCGTCAATTGGTTCAAGATTCATGACATTTTTGTTGTATACTTCCATCCACTGCTCTTGTAACTCTCCTCCAACGTTATCCACAGCACGAACATCCAACAGCGCTTGCGATTTCCTCAAGTCATCTTGCAGGCTTTGCACTATCAGACCACTTCTTCGTCCTGAAGTTGGGCTCATCATCACCCCTTGTTTGATGGAATCCATTTTCGTCAAGCGGTTTGCCATCTGTACAGACCTGACTTTTCCCACCGGGGAGTCTGATTCAAAACGAATGGACTGCATTCTTGAGGAATACCTTCCAATTGAAGAAGAATCAGTATCTGATGATTCGCTCTCCTCAATTCCGCCGCGGGATGAACTTCTCAAAGGCCCCAACGTATCGAGTTTTGAGGAATTACTAGAGTTGCTAGAAGCGTCATCGCTTTCATGGACAATGTCTACCTTCTCGTCCTCCATTTTCGTCAGGCTTAGAGATGATTGTGCTTCATTCCTTCATGCAGAATCGATGACATGTGACATGGAAGAGGAGGCAAGCCATATTGTTGCGGATCGCGCGCTCATATTTGAATCACTCGACCGCACGGCAACCCGCCTCCTTAGTGTAGGTTCAAGGTAGAGACACGTATGTAGTAGGAACCTCTTTACATCTACATACCGGTATGCTATTGTACACTGAAAGCAATTGCTTTCACGATTTAAAAGGAAATTTACCACCGCTTGCGGTTCTGCGTTTGTGTTTTTTAGTTAGAGTAGCATCCTTTCAGAATGCGCACTTCTTTTTTATAAACGCTTCAAGGACCAAAATGGAGCTACTGTTTTCTGAATCGCTGTCGAAATGAAATGTAGGTCTGCACTTGTATGACATAACACAAGTGGTGATAGCACTCCTGGGGTTAACAATCGAGACTCAGTTCTTCCTCAGCGGCATCCAAACACACGCCGCCAGCCACTCCTATTCATTTATCGACATCAAGATCAAGGAAAACAAGCAAGTATGCATGTGCGTTACACTGATACAAGTGACGCCCACGATCACTCTGACACGTAGTCGTTTCCGGGTCTAATTTTTCGCTAACTTTCATGTGCCTTCTATTGGCGAATCGTGAGTGTCGTCAGTCACGGACAAATGCTTGACGAACTCGTGGCCGAAAACCTTGCACACAAGAATAACGGATCGTGAACACAAAACCCAAAACCTTGTCTCACAAAATCAATATCCATCACACAAATCACTACACACATCACAAACGCTACTTTTTATCATGCATCGGACCTTTCAATTCCTTATCGGACTCTTAATCGTCGTTACCATTCAAGCAGGTCTCATCTGTCCTCTGTGCGGAAGTGCCAACAAGGTTCCAACGAGATGGGACCATGTCGTCAGCCAGAGTCCTCTCAAAACCTGCAGAAGTATATATTTCGAACTGGCCATGAGACCCATCAACCATCCAACCTGTGCCCCCATGCAACAGCAATACCAAGCGACATGCTGTAATGCCGCACCGGCTCCAGCTCCGGCTCCAGCTCCCGTCCCATCAGGTGAAAGCGGAGGCCATCCATATTGCAGAATTTGCCGGAACGATGATTTCCCTGGAAATCCAGAAGTAATGATCTCTGCTCGCTACGTCGGGACATACTCCTGTGGTACTTTGTATCATCGAGGAAAGAATGGGTAAGTGAGGCAAGTTGGCCCATGCGATTCATCTCTGTGTATAAATGCTCACTTCACTTTTTCTCGTCTTCCAGCCAAATTCCTGGGTTCATGTGCGGACCTTTGCAAGATCGTATTTACGAGAAGTGCGGCTGTGGCCAAACGCCACCCACCAACAGACCAACTCCACCACCCGCTCCTAGACCAACACCAAACCCGACTCGAAGGCCAACACCACAGCCTACCCGTAGACCAACCCCACGCCCCACAGGCAGACCAACACCGCGTCCTACCCGTAGACCAACACCACAGCCAACACGCAGGCCCACACCGCAACCTACGAGACATCCAACTCCGCGTCCAACTCGTGGGCCAACTCCAAATCCAACTCGGCCTCCAACTCGCAGGCCAACTCTAAATCCAACACCTGCACCGACTCGTCCTCCAACTCCGGCGCCCACAACGGGACAAACTCCCAAACCCAATGGACAGTATGAGCGAAAGAGGCCCGAAATCACTGATAAATTTGATCTTCGATTGCCAAGACGACATGCATACCAAGGATTCAATCAAGGAGGATTCAGACGTGGGCTGAGCGAAAACCAAGCTAACGATAATCCAGTACTGGTGGAGAACTAGGAGATTCCTCGCATGCGGAGGACGAAAGTGGTGGCAGTTGTTAACTCAATGCTTACTACATAAACATGTGACATTAGCACTAATAACCAAAATAGATCATTCATTTATCAATCATAAGAATGTAGAACAAATTTGAGATAGTAGAAGAAGCTGCTGGTTACAATCCTAGTCCTAATACGATGTCAATAGTATTGTTTCGTGAATCCTTGGCTTGATTGTCGCGCTTTTTTACATCCGAGGAGACATTGACGTGGATGAATTCGAGTTTGACTACGACATTTCCGAACCAAGACATTCTTTCCGAGAAAAATATCGTGACATTCGTTTTGTGAGTCCCTTGACGAGGAGATTTTGTGGTCGCAGACGGCCGAAAACATTAAATCGTTGACACTTTTACAAGAGTAACGGATCGTGAGAAAGCCGGAGAAAACTTGAGCTCACAAAACCAATATCCTCCATATAATATTCAAATTATCAAAGAGCCATCACTATATCTTTGATACGACCAAATAGTTTAAATCTCCCAACAATAATGTTACAGCGCGCTCTTCAACTGATAATTGGACTCTCGATCCTGGCATGCATCCAAGCAGGTCTCATTTGTCCTTTGTGTGGAAGCGTCAGCAAGGTTCCAACGAGATGGGATCATGTCGTCAGCCGCAGCCCCTACAAGACGTGCAGAACTGTCTATTTCGAGTTGGCCATGAGACCTATCAACCATCCAACCTGTGCGCCCATGCAAAGACAATATCAGGCAGCATGCTGCAATGCCGCACCAGCCCCAGCCCCAGCTCCCATCCCTGCTGCAAGCAGCGGCGGTCACCCATACTGCAGAATTTGCGGTAACGATGACTATCCTGGAAATCCAAATGCAATGATATCTGCTCGATACGTCGGAACCTACTCCTGCCATAGTTTGTTTCAGAGAGGAAAGAACGGGCAGATCCCAGGATTCATGTGTGGGCCTCTGCAAGATCGTATTCACAACAAGTGCGGCTGTGGCCAAAAGCCACCTACCAACCGACCAACTCCACCACCTGTTCCTAGACCAACACCCCGGCCTACCCGCAGACCAACACAGCAGCCTACCCGCAGACCAACCCCACGTCCTACACGGAGGCCAACACCCCAACCTACTCGTAGACCAACGGCACGCCCCACCCACAGACCAACGCCGCAGCCGACACCAAATCCAACTCCAGAGCCCACGGACCAACCAAGCGTCGCACCATCCAAGGCCCCAACCGAAATACCATCTTCTGCGCCTACGAATAAGCCAACCAGAGCACCCACTTCATCGCCTTCGGTGTCCCCAACAGAAGCTCCGTCCAACCAGTACGGGCGAAAGAACGGAGATGAGACCGGCAAAGACGATCTTCGACTCGATCGAAGGCAGTACCGCAATGCTGGAGGACAACGTGGTTTGAGGAATCAACAAGGAGAGGAGGGCAACGATGTTCCTGCCGAGAACTAGCAAGATCTGGGACTTTGGATCGCAGACTTGGTTGCTACTACGAAACAAAAAATTGAAAGCTGTCGAAGACTTTCCTTCGATGCTTAGATTGCATAATGTGTACTATTAGTAACTACCGGTGTATATATAACAACAGATCACAAGTTATTGGAAAGGCAAAGGCGCCATTGTAGGAGGAGTGTACTCCGAATTTTAACGGTAAAAATGGGCTGTGATAGATATTTTGTGGCGGTTATAATGCTGCCGACGAAAGCCCACAAAGTTGTCAACTTCTCGTAAACTACTTATCTGGGAACCAGTCCAAAGTTTCCATGTACTTTGGCTACAAAGAAGGGAGGAGTTTGTTGCCCACCCATCAAGATTGAATCATCTACATTCCAAAAAACTACAGTAGATTCTTTTTTGTGTTTCTGATAATTGCAGTTGCAACATCTAATGTTTGTTCTATGACTCTATTGTTTGTCTACCTTGATACCCCAACGGATTCGCGGCGACTGTTTTTAAAAATTGTTTTCTGCAGAAAAAAGTTTTTACCACTCCTCAAGCAGAAAGTCTGGAGCATCGTACATGGTATCTTCAATGGCATATTGCAAAATGCCATCATCTTGTTCTTCGCCTAATATCAAGAGCTCTTCCTTGCTCTTGGACTTTAGTTTCAAGACCTCATTTCGTAGATCTCTAGTATCCTTTGTCCCGGACCGTTGCCACAGCTTGTTCACGCCATGGTACAATTGCAGGGTTGGAACTGCTGCGACCTGAAGTTGATCCTGAATGAAGTGGTTCGTTTGCGGTGAATAGGCCACCTCCGCAAATCGCACTTGGCCCTCCACCATTTTGCGAGAGGCAATGCCATCGCCAAGTTCGGTTGCGAGCCTTGTAAACTGCATACCGAGGCGTTGGCATGTTTTGCACCATGGCGCATAGAATTTTATTGCAACCATTCTATCATCTTCTTGGACAAAGTATTTCAGTTCGTCCAAGCTACTCAACTTGGTGATGTAGGGTTTCTTTCCCTTGATAATGGGCTCAGCCGTTGTGGTTGTGGGTTTCGTCAAGGTCATACCATCGTTTGTATAGAACAATTGTGACGATGATGATGATGACTTCGGCGATTGCTCACCAGAGACTGTGAATCCTTCGCTGGAAGGAGCGAGAAGGAAAATTGAAGTAGCGATGACATAAAAGATATTCATCATGGTTTTCATTGTAGTTTTATAATGTTTGGATCGTTGTTTGGATTGAAATTATGATCATCGAAAGGATCATTTTTTGTTTTGATAATGGAGTCGGGTTTGGAAGTTGAAACGCTCGCGTGGTGCATTTATTCGCCAATTGAGGCTTGGCATCACGTGTCAGGATGTCAGTGTGACATGTTTAGTGTCACTTCTTTACTTTGTTTGATATGCATGCGATCTCAGTCTGAGGTGGCAGGGGTCGACGCATCGAAAAACGAGAAGCGCGAGGTCGGAATGACGAATAATCCTGTCAATGTACCGGAAACTGTACAGTAATGAACAATACACCTTCTTGTCGTAGGTAGGTCTGGTCAGGAAAGTGTTACGTCTTCTCAAAAGTGACTTCACGAATGAATCATGATTTAATAAATGTACAGTAGCAACGAAACATTGCATACAGGCGTAGGTCTCCGACTACAGTATTCCGAAGCCCGATTGATACTCCATGTTTCAATGACTAAATTTTTAGGTGGGGCATGTCGCCAATATTGTGAGTGAACGAGTTGTCACGCTTGGCATCATCTTCAATTCAACAATGCCATCTGGGAATGCCTATCGTCTGGAAGCTGTCGTAGGAATACCATGCAGTATAATACTTCGTGCCACTAATACAAGACAGGTCGTATACTCCGCCTTGTGCACTGCACCACTGATGCTCGCTTGGAATCGTGCTTAACTAACTACTGTAGATTGATAGATTGGTTTTATTTATTTATCTACTTGCTCAGCAGCTTCGTTGGCCTCTGCTTCGTTGGCCTTACTAATGGCATCCAATGGATCGTCACCAATTTCTGCCATTAGCTGCATTTGATGAGTGAAATCTTCCATTGTGGATGCCCCAATTATGACACGCGAGAACGCCTTGTCGGCGAGCATATGCCGCAATGCGTACTCCTGTAACGTCATCTTCTTGGGTATGTCGGGGTAAGTCACTGTGGATGTCATTGTATTCTTTTTGGAGCCTCCTCCCGCTGCTCCTTCTCCCTGCAACAAAACTTTGCGTGTATTTTTGGCAATGGCATAACGAACTGCCACTGCGTAGGCCGCAAAAAATGCACTCAACACTTCCGAGGTCCTGTCGTCCATTGCTTCAAAGGTATCGTAGAGGAGCGGAATGATGCGGGAATACAGTTCTTCCTCGTGCGCCGCAAACGACCGAATGTTTTCCAAGTCATTGTCTAGATCATGGATCATACTTTGGACCAATTTGCACCCATCCAAAGTCTCCCGTTCTTCCATCGTCAGGTCTCGTTCTTGCTTGATCTCTAGCAGCTCTTCTGCATCGAAATGGGACATTGCCGTTTGTAGAGCAATCTGATATATCCTTGGGGGTCCAGTCATTTCGTTGGTGTACTGGACAGAACTAGATGATGACGGTGTCGTCGAAGATGCCTCCTCCTCCGCTTCAAAGGGACCCAGGGGATTTTCGTGCAAACTAGGAAGATTGTAGTCCACCAAGCGGAACGGATGTCCCGTACCAGTTCCTAAATCAGGATAGCATGTCAATGGTCGAATAGCCATGACATCCAACGAAGGAACTGCCGAATGCAGTTTTCGCGCCATATCCCATCCATGCGTCTCCAGCAAGTTTGCGGGTAGTTGGACTGTTGAAAATTGATCGTATTGCTTGGCTGCGTCAATCACCAAGTCCGCACCCAAATGCATTGGATGCTTTTGCTCGGAAGGAATTCCTAATCCATTACTCACAACTCCAAAGGAAACGCCAGAGATTGAAGCCGCATGCTCTTGCATGGCTTCTAATGCATGCTGCCAACGTTGTTGTATATACGCCTGTCGATCCTCAAACGATGCATTCGGATCGTCCTTGAGTAGCTCCAACACCTGGACCTCGGGATTTTGGATCAGGAATGCAATTTTTATGTTGAATTCCTCTTGCAATTCCAAAAGTGGAGAAGCCTTCATCGTTTCCAAAACGTAATCTGCGGATACATTATGAATGACGGACAATGATTCCTCTTCTGTGGCTATCACATCTCCTGCTCGTTTCTTTATATCCTCTGCTTTGACAGTATCTTCCTTATCGTCCTTTTGTTTGATTTCTTGTTCTCGGTAGCCAATTCTGGTAGTAAGGATGAGCTTTCGGCTTTTCCGATCCAATAATTCGGGAGATCTTTCGATTGCACCTTGAATCGCTCCGACCATGGCAATTTCGCCCCCTTCTTGTCCAGACACTTCCAAAAGTGATACCTCTTTGGATAATGCCGCATGTATCAATTCAGAATATGAAGATGGATCAAACTTTTTCCAACTATGTCCACCGAGGCCATAACGATCCATGGAAGACGACGACGACGACATGAAACGCTGATGGCTAGAAGAAGCACCCAAAATTTTGCTCCTTCCTGCCACTGTGGCTTTTTGAACCCTGGTAGATGCAGTTGCGACTGTCCGAATAATCATATTGTTGTCGTTTTTCTAATTCTGCTGTTTGATTTAACAGCTATAATCTTGTACAAGCAAATAACTGAAGCTTAATGCACCCTCTGACGATGAATCATCAGAATAATCTGACAAATCTCAATCGTTGTTACTCGTGTCACACTGTGGAGGATTGATTCCTTCTGGTCAAATTTTATTCTTTGACAGGCCATTTATGTAGTCCAACATTTTTGTATTGCTGCAGAATACTAGGGGTACCAGAGACCTCGTCCTCTGTTTCATTTAATTATCCCCTTCCCTTTTAAATTAGTGTAAAGTACTCAGTTAGACCTTACAATTTTTCATTGGTTTCAAAAACTGTTCACGCGCTGGGCCTGTTTTTCAATAAGTATCTGGTCTTGTGGTAGCGCGTTTACGACTAGCATGTGCTCAGATTTTTGTTCAAAGACGTTTTTGTTTGTCTATCCAAATCTTCTGACCATATATTGTTTACGCTTTTACGAGAGATCTTTTGTACACATTACATTCTATAATGATGAAGATATCTGTGTTGTGGAGTGCTCTCCTCTTACCTTCCCTCGTTCTCGCAAAGCCCTTGACTTCGTGTTCACTCCAACGAGATTGCATATCGTTCACGGTCGAAGAGAATACATCAAAAACTTGTGGAAGTAGTTCCTGCCTGTGGAAAGTCTGCTTAAAATATGACTCAAATCTACCAGGTTGTCAAAAAAGTGGTTCTATTAGTCATGCATGTGACTCTGGGAACGACTTCAATGGCGGATGTGTTCGAGATTTGTGGGATAATAAAGGATGGGATTCGAATGAGATAGAAAACTTTGGAGATTCCTCCAGCATGTGTGTGGACGTACCCAAGGGACAGGATGCCAAATTCCTTCTCAAGGACGGCTGGGGATGCGAAGGCTTTGAATCGTTTGGTATTGCCCAAGGATCTGCTGCTCAGTGCTTCCCTTCCAGAGAAAGAACTTGTACGGGAAACCGACCAGGGAGGGAGTGTTGGTGGACAGTTTCAACACCGCCTGGAAGTTGCGCTGCTCCACCAGTGCCGAGACCTACCCCTAGAGCAACACCGCCCCCGACAAGTAGGCCTACTCCTCGCCCAACACCATTCCCAACGAGAAGGCCTACTCCTATTCCTACAGCTCCGCCAACACCAAGACCGACTCCTGTTCCTACAGCTCCGCCAACACCAAGACCTACTCCTGTACCAACTCCAAGGCCTACTCCTTTGCCAACACCAGAGCCGACACCAAGACCTACGCCTTTTCCAACACCAGAGCCAACACCAGAGCCGACACCAAGACCAACGCCTTTTCCAACACCAGAGCCAACACCAGTACCTTCATCTGGTCCAACTCCTGTTCCAACCTCGGGACCTACATCAGCGCCGACCTCTGGACCAACATCGTCTCCAACCTCGGGACCTACAGCGAGCTTAAACCCTTCGACGGTTCCAAGTGATGTACCATCATCAGGACCGTCGCTAAGCTCACAACCTTCGTTGAGTTCCATGCCTTCGGATACTCCAAGCAACGTTCCCACGCCAGCGCCTACGACAAGCGCAGGGCCTACTGCCACCCCAAGTGAATCACCATCATCAGCACCTTCTACAAGTTCACAGCCTTCGTTGAGTTCCATGCCTTCCCTCAGCCCAACCTTTGTTCCGACACCCGCGCCCAGCAGTGAACCCACTCCGGATCCATCAGCGGAACCTAGCATCAACCCAACGCCAACACCCAGCAGCAACCCAACACCACAGCCAACGCCCGCGCCCAGCAGGGATCCCACTCCGGATCCATCAGCGGAACCTAGCATCAACCCAACGCCAACACCCAGCAGCAACCCAACACCACAGCCAACGCCCGCGCCCAGCAGGGATCCCACTCCGGATCCATCATCGGAACCTAGCAGAAATCCAACGCCAACACCCAGCCGTAACCCAACACCACAGCCAACACCCGCGCCTAGCAAGGACCCCACTTTGGATCCAACCTCCGTGCCCTCTTCCAACCCCACACCACCTCCAACGGTTGCCCCAACGGTTACTCCGACACCCGATCCGACCCAAGAACCGACAGCTGCACCTACCAAGGCTCCAACTGTTCCAAGTCCCGGAGGAGGAGGAACCTTGACTTCTTGTTCTCTCCAAAGAGATTGCATTGCGTTCACTGTCGAAGAGGCACCATCGAACACTTGCGGTGACGGTTCCTGTCTGTGGAAGGTCTGTTTGCAATTGGACAATAGTCTACCCGGTTGTCGAAAAGATGGATCGATTAGTCACGCATGTGATTCCGGCGAAGACCTTACTGGGTGCCTTCGAGACGATAGTGACAATGGAGGCTGGGATTCCACCGCGACCGTCCCTTTCGATAATTTGGAAACCATGTGTGTCCATGTACCAAAGGGAGAGGAGGCTAGATTCCTTCTCAAGGACGGTGGAAGATGCGACGGCTTTGAGTTTTTTGCCATTGACGATTCCTTTGCCGTTTGCTCGCCTTCCGAAGATAGGACCTGTACTGGAAACAGACCTGGAGTGGAATGCTGGTGGAGAGTTGCAACACCCCCTGGAGACTGTGCTAGATAATCATGATCGATCGATTGCTAGCAGGTATGCAGCAACATAAATCCAAAATACCAACAGTCAGTCTTAGGATCGAGCTCTTGCGCCATTGAGAGACTAACCCTGGAAATAAGCATACTAGTTACAGGTAGAAGGTCAACGGAGTGAGCCAAACCGAAGGCTTGCTGTCGATCACCAGGTATACTACGATTCCATGGTCGTCCTTTGCCCTGTCGGATCACGCTGACTTTGGATGCTTTCAACAGGAACAAATAGATATCAGAGCAGAAGCTATCAGTCAATGATTTGATATTATCGTACATTTTGCATGCATTAATTATTAGTACAAAAATGAAGCAACTATGTTAGCAGGAAAATGGTAGGAAATCACCCAAATTCATCGGGTGAGAAAGAAGAAGAATCAACGAGCACCGATTCTTCAGAGGGAGCTTCCTCAACAAGAGGTTTCTCAGAGGGAGCTACCAAAAATCAACGAACTCTATCCACTTGAGGATCCACAAAATGAGGATCCGAATCCATTGGCAGCTCAGTCTTTCACACTTTCCATTGTGAGCTTCTAGCAATGTTGCAGAAGTAGTGTCTTCTTGCATCGGGGGTTTCTCTTTCCTTTACAAAAGGTATTGTGGAGGAATTGCATTTCACAGAGGATCAAAATTCTTAATCTCTAGCACTGTCCTTCTCTTGGAGAAACTTGGCGTTCCCAGTCTTGACTTTCTTCTTTGCCCAGCCTTCGACAGTGATACTACTCAGTTTCTAGGAACAAAGGAAAACAGCGACAAAAAGTCAACATCCACCCAAGGGGCCATCTTTTTGGTGAGAGGATTGAATTGGAGCTTTTCATCCTTTTGCCAGGTTTGAATGCGGTTGAGGAAACCGATCCAATCCGTGTTGGGATCCGGCAGAGGTCTGTCTCCTTCCCCTCGTTCTTCTGGTGTGCCAAAGATCAGCTGACAGAACTGAGCAAGTTCATCACGACTCAAGGTTCGTTCGTCCAACAGATCAAACAATTGAGACGACTGTCCCATTTCCCGCATGCGATGCAAGATCAAAGCATAGTTGAGCCAGGGATTGTGTTGGGCGACCTCGGAAGCCTCGGCATGATAGTCATCCAAGACGTCCAGGCCATCCAATTCGGCATCGAGTTGGTTGTACAAATCGACAATAGGACCATAGTCCGTGCACAGCCGCAAAACGACAGTCACGGGCAATCCTTCGAGGAGTTCTCGGATGGAGTCCATGAACTCTTGATGCAAACTGGCTTCATCTTGTCCAAGGTTATCCATATTGTGATTTCCAGCACCATCCGTTACAATCACAATAGCAACTTTGGTGCCGTCCGCCTTGAGTTGGGGCAAGAGATCTGAGACAATTTCTTCACGAATGGTTGCCAGTGATTGCAAGAGCGGAGTTTGGCCGGAAGGCTTAGTTTTGGACAAGATGGATTGGGCTTCCTTGAATCCATCCTTCATGGAAGTATCGTATCCAACTCGAAAGGAAGATGGCACAATGGTGCCGGTGGACGCTGAGGAAGATTTCGTAAAAGATAGTCTTCGCTTGTGCTCCTTCTTGTCGCCACTTTCTGCATTAGGAATATTCAAGAGACGGAATTCAGTTGGTTGGTGAAGAGCTGCGGATAATTGAGCATGCAACAACACCGTTTCTTGAAGTTCACTCCAACGAGAGACATCATCGTTAGTAGCCAGCCAGTTTTCATCTTCCTTATGGTTGCTGGCACTGGCCTTGGGCTTCTTGGCAAGTTTGTGGCCATCTTCTTGTCGCATGGATCCACTGTTATCTACGAGCCAAATTCGCCTGGAAAAGTCATCATTTTGCTGCAACAAGGTATTCATCAAACCATTTGGAATGCCCAAAGTCTTTTGCAAAGTCTCATAATGTTGCTGTTCTCCATGCTTCTGGCCTTGCGAAAATGGACTTTTGGCAAGAGGACCACCCGCAAAGACTTGAAAGGCACTAGCAGGCATGCCGAATACCATCAGGGCTACCACCAAAAATAGAAGGAATTGGGAGGAGGATATCATAATCATCATCATCGTTGCCGTGGTGGTAGCGCTTTGGTTTCTGATTTTTGACACTTGAAAGAGCTTGTCTGTGCAATCATTCACGATAGCAGCAGATAGCTAGTAGTCGAGTGATATCCAAAAGGGACGAGTTGATAGCTATCACTTCTTCAATCGGAACTTACACCCAAAGATTCTATTTGGAAACAAAGGAGTTCCGCCGAGCGAGGAGGCTTGATGGGAGATTTCCTCGGAACCGTGCGTGGCGCCCCAAAACCCCAAAAAGTATCCTGGGTTCAACGTTGTGGATCTACCGGTACTTGTACATGTACCGGTACATGCACACATGATACAACTACGATTCCTCGTAGAAATGTTTAGTTACTGTACAGTACGTGGTGAGGTCATAACGGACGACTCGTGTGACTACAAAAAGGCTATGACAGTACCAGATTCCAATTCATACTCCATGACCAAATCTACTGTAGCTTTAACTGTGCTTGGGCTTATGGTACTTCTGCAGGAACCTGCCGGCTGCTTATCTCATTGAATAGATCATCCAATGAAGAGGTAATTGTAGAAATTCGCCGTAGTGTCCTTGCTAGTTGCTTCTTGAATATGCCTCCCCCAACAGAAATGATTGACCAGCCACTTTTTGGTCACAACGAAGCACCATCTCTTTGTACCAGCAACAATAATGGGTTCTTGCGTCTGCTTCTTTCCATGGGCCACTGGTATCGGATAGTCTTATTCCCAAAGACAAGTGACTTTTAATGTTGTACCCAGCTCGTGTTTGGATTCTGAAAGAGATTCCCTTCTCCTTCTTGTTCGTCGTTCTGCTGTGCTTTGGGTTTGTCTCGGGCCACATCTATTTCGGGTCTCGATTTGCTCATGCTCGTTATAATCTCTTCCACCTCATCACTTCCTTGATTGCCTCCAAGTTCTACTGTATTCAAGACAGATAGAAAGTTGGGATCCGGATTCTCCTTTAGGATGGAACTCAACAGAGTGGCCACCGCTGGTGCTTTGGCCCGATTTCCTCCCAAATCCAAATGCTCCAATGTAAGGTGACCGCCTTGTAGGTGAGGGGCGATGCTCTCCAGACCCTCGCATTGCAAGTTGTTGTCAAATAATCGTAGCGACTTGAGGGATGGACAATTTTGCAACAATGCTGCCGCGCCTTCTATTCCACAACTGGTCGAGCCCATGTCCAAGGTGCAAACATTATTATCAGGAGAAGAGAAGGCCTTTGCAAGCTCCACGACTCCTTGTGGGCCAACGTCTCGATTTCCAGATAGATTTAGTTCAGTCAGAGAAGAAAACTGCTGTTGCTGTTTTGCCTTGAGAAGAATGCTTGCCATGCCACTGGCACCTACAGTTGTGAGACCGTTTTGAGATAGATCCAAAGAGGAAAGGAGGACCACCGCCGACAATGACGAGGATGCTGCCTCCATGAGAGCCAAAATTCCATCGTCTCCCAATTGACATTTCTTGACCGAGAGTTTACACAATGTATTCGTCGATATCAGTGTTCCGAGCAAGGCCCCTGATTTAGAAGTCAGAGGATTCAAACTGGCAATCAGTTCCATAGCTTTGGGTCGTTGTTGTGTGGGTTTTGTTGTTGTTGTTGTTGTTGTTGTTGTTGTAGCTTCTTCTTCCGACGATGAAAGCAGGCGCTTCGTCAATGCTTCCATGCCCTTGGGACCCACCGCACATTCCGAAATGTCCAAAAATTCCAAACTGGAAAATATGAATTGTGGCGCATCATCATCATCATCGTCATCGTCATCTTGTTTTGAATCGACTGCGTCTTTTGCATTGGATACCAACGCAAGCATGCCGTCATCACCAATGGTGGGATTCCGATAGATTTCCAACTTTTTCAAGCCACTCGCTCCCAAAGCCTTCCCAATCATGGCGGTGCCTGTGGGAGACAAGCTCTTGAATCCAAAATCCACGTGTTCCAAATGACAAGTTTCCAACAATGGCTGCAACAGGGCCACCACACCTTCATCACCCATGGATTCATCCCCGATGGACAGTTGTTTGACATATTGTCCCCCAGTGGTTGCCAGCGCCTTGCCCAATGTCTCCAAAGCTTCCGGTGGCACCTTGTGACCTGACGCACTAATGGATTTCAAATTGGTATTCAAGCCGGATTCCAAAATCTGGGCCAACGTTGTGACTTCCGTCGCTCCAAAGGTCTTCATGGGCAAAATTACGACCGACGTCAATTTGGAATCATTGTCTCGGACTCGTTGTAAAAGACTGTCACAAGATTTGAAGCCACCAGCAGACCCCCAAACCATTGTTGTTAAAAATACGTGCTATGGTAAAGTACTTTGACACTGTTGGTATGTTCTTTCTGTCAAAAATGAATGCCATGATGATGGATGGATGTGAGACGCCATGAGAAGAGGTACTGCTCTAGCGTTGTAAGACCCGTTCGACTAACTTTGCAACGGTTCGAGCGAAACGGAAAACTCTTGGGTCCATAGTATTGAATATGCGCTCTCATCATCATAATAAATCATCAGAACACAAAAACGCACCAATACGATAGACTTTTATTCTTATCAAAGCCCTGTTGCTTGCCAACAGTCCGAGAACATGAAGAGACACTCTCGTAATGAGACGAGTCATGATGCAAATAACGGAGAAAATAGGCTGCAAACAAATGCAACTACGACCAGGTCATTCCTTGCAATGATGATGATAATAATGATGATGATGATCTTGCCTCCCAATGTTCAAGCCAGAGTTCCCAACACCATTACGGTGAATGCCGTCGTTCCTCAAAGTCTTCACAAAGATGATTACAAGACTGGCTTTGAGAATGCCATTTCGGCCGAATTTGGACGATTTCATGTGGCACCAGCTTCCAATCCAGCACAAGATATGCGTGGCAGTCTCATTGTCAATCTGTACCAGGTGGGTTCGCCCATGTGCAATACCAAGCAAGTGGAAGATGCGAGAAAGAAGAAGGAAGCCGAAAAATGGAAACCGCCGTACGGTTTGTTGATTGAGCGAAATCAAGAGACTTCTGCGACTAGGGGTTGCACCTATGTCCAACAAGCCAGACACGCCCAAGAGCTGGGAGCTGCTTCTGCTATACTTGTGAATCACAAGTGCCTCTGCGACGACGACGACAAATGCAAGGGACAACATGGTTGCGAATCCATTCCTCCCGTTCTTCATGACGATGGGACTGGCCACGACGTCCAGATTCCAGCCGTTATGTTGACCAAACAAGATGGTGACTCGATCAAAGACGCACTCAAAACTAGTACTGTCGCCCTCGAATTGTATTACAAACCCTTTCGGTCGGTAATGGTGACGGTCACTCTGTGGCATACGCCCTTTTTTCACTCCAGTGGCTTCTTCGGCAGCAGCAACAACGACGCCGAAAAAGAACAAGGTGGTGTGGACCAAATGGCAGGTCAATGGTGGCACAACATGTCCATCGTCATGAACACCTTTGGAGAATCCGTCGAATTTAATCCCCGATACATGATGCTGGATGGTACCACCATAGATTGTTTGGACAATCCAGCTTGCAATACGACTTGTACCAATGGTGGACGATACTGCGATGCTTCGGGAGCTGTCGATGATGGAGTCTACCATATTGAAGAATCCTTGGTGCGACGGTGCATTTGGCGGCATGTCCGCAATTCCAACGATCCTGACAGTGCTGTAGAGCAGGTGTGGTGGACCTATGTGTCCTATACATCTGAACAGTGTTCAGACCATCGACAAATCGACGAAGGTGGTGACAATCCAAAGTTTTGTCGGGATCCGGCTTTGGAGCAGGCAGGAATGGTTGACATTGTCCATGACTGCATCATGAACAGTGGGGATATCGAAGACGATGTCCACAATGCATTATTGAACGAAGAACTGGAGATTCAAACACGCCATGGACCTCATGTGAATCCAACCATGACGGTGAATGGAATCGATATTCGATATACACATTCTGTTCGGCATCATCGCTATTTGTCCGCGGCCAGTGTGTTTGAGGCAGCCTGCAATGCCCTGTTGCCCGAAAACAAGCATGTAGCCTGCGATATCTGCTTGGCCTGCCACGATCCCATCTCTTGTTTGGCCCAATCGGAACCATGGACTTGCGATGCGCATCCTGCACCCGCACGAAAAAGGAAAAAGAGACATCACTTTCGCAACTTTTTCCTGTGGTGTATCTTTATCGGTGGCATGGTGTTTGCAGCCAACAAATATCGAAGGTACCAGAACGAGCAGAACCTGGAAGCCTTTTTCCAAACCCATAATGATTACACACTGAATGAGAATCTATTTGGAAACGAGTAAGGGTTCAAATTGGAAGAGCGAGAGAAGGAGAGAGGGAACATGGTAGAAGATATAAAATGGAAAGGTGTTTAAAATAATGATAATAATATTACAGTAGTGTCACTATGCAGGAGTACGTATTTTGTGTAGATGATATTGTTGGTGGCCCAGAAGGTAGAGTACAGTTTGATTTTCCCCCGAACCATTCCCCAGTCTTGTTGTTTCATGCGCTTCTTAACTGATGGGACCCAAAAAGAGGGCCGCAAAAAACGCCGCCGCCAGAATAAAAATGATTGCCAGCCACCAGTAGGGATCCACTTCTTGCAGCTTCTCCGCAAAGGTCATGGGCCGTTGCTGTTGCATTCGTTGTTGTGGAGATGGGTGCCTGTTGTCCCGTACAGGTGTTGTCATTTCGATCGCCGTCTGAACGCCAGCATCCACCTTGGTTTCAATTGGCTCGGCAATGCGTCCCAATCCCAATTCTGGATCTCGATCAGGTGTCATCACCACCGAGTTGGGAGATAGAATTGCCTGCTGCTGCTGTTGTTCGTGACGGAGGAGGTCGGAAAATGTGGTTTGGGTATTGTGCATGGGAAGGGCTGCGGAAGCTGCCTTGGCATACGGACTGTTCGTTGGCTTTCGTTCCATGCTACTGAGGCTGGACTGAGACGCCTCCGTTGGTGATGTCCGAGGATGTGTTTGTTGTGACACAATTGGTGCTGTTTCAGTGGCTGGGTTTCCACGAGAAGCTTCTGCTTGTGGAGTCACGGGAGGAAGTGAATCGGCCAATTTGGTGGGTGTCACAAGTGGGCCTTGTGGTTTGGGTTTGGATGCTTGGTTGCTCGCAACAGGTGTCTTTGTTTGCTGGCATTTCAGTACCAGCTGAATCAACGATTGATCGTTTTCCAGATCATAGTGATCCATGGCATATCTTGTGTAAAGTTCGGTAGTGGAACACTCCTTGAGTTGTTCAATGGTCAACGCTCCATGCTTGACGAGATGTTCTGGCTTTCCATTTGGAATGGTACAAATTTGACACACAATTTCTGCCATCCCGGATCGAACTTGTTCCACAATGGACGAATTCCACTTGCGAACCTTGGCTTCCTTGACAGCCGGGTTGTTGTAAATGGCTTCGTACAAATTGATTTGTGGAGAAGTCTCGACCAAGAGATCCTTGAAATACCTGGTCCGTTCATTGATGACTTTGATTCTCAATTGGTGCTTGACATCCCCTAGCTGCGACGCAATGCTAGTAATACTCGACCTATCAAAATGTGCTGGAATTTGTATTTCACGTTCCTCTTCTTTGGGTGCTGGTGCACTGTCCTCGGCTGCGGTTGGTTCGCCTTCTTCTTCTTCTTCTTGATCCGTGAAAAGCTTCTTATTGCTCGAGTCCTGTACCTCCTCCTCCTCTTTCTCTTGTCCATTTCCATTAATGGGTTGACACCGCAAGAGCATTTGAACCTTGGAACGTCCAGCATGAAAGTTATCCTTGTACTGGTTCCACAATAGCTCCGTGGTGGTCACCTTGAGCTGGTCAACGGATAGTTCCATGGGCATGCTCTTGTTGGGTTCGTTGGCCAATTCGGGTGGTGGATTGGACAGAAGCAACACCCGACACCGAATTTCGCTCTTTTTTTCCTTGACTTGTTGGACAAAGGAGGTTCCCCATTTTCGGACATTGGCTTGCTTGACGCTTTGATGGTCATAGACGGCCGAGTACAAATTGATATCGTTGGATATTTTCAATGGGACTTCCTTGAAGCGCTTGGTCGATGAGTTCATGATTTGTACCGACAGTTCCGCAGGTTTTGGTTTGGGTGGTTGTGAACGAACGCCTCCACGATTGATGACTGGTGGTGGTGCCCCACGATCCATGGACATGGACGCTGGTAGAATCAGAGTTGCCGTGGGCGGCGTTGGCGAAATGGGCGATGCTGCCACTGCTACTGGCCGTGGGCTTGTTCTTGCTGTTGAATCCAGAGTCGTCGTCTTTGGAGCCTTGGGTGCAGGAGCTGCCGGAGGACCTGCTTCTTCGAGTTGCCGCTTCTTCAATTTGAGTAGTTCCAATCGACTGAGAGGCTCTTCTGTTGCTGTTGCTAGTGCCGGAACAGGTACAGGTTGTGCTTGTTGCGATTCCGCCCCCGGTACAATGGTGGTAGTATTCGGTGGAACCTCTCTCGAAGTAGCCGGAAATGGCCACGGAACTTGTTCTGACGCTTCTTCACCAGGCGCAGCTGCTTGTTCCTGTGCCGTTGCCGCCGCTGCCATGCTGACAATGCTATTGACTGTCGATGATTGTGTCGTTGTGGCTGATGTCGGCGTTGTAGCTGTGGCGGGTGTCGTTTCCAATTGTCGCTTTTTGAGCTTGAGTTGTTCCAACCTGGAGAGTGGTGGTTCGGAAGATGAGGACTCTTCCATGGAAGTATCATTACTAGTGGTAGTGGTAGTGGCAGTAGTAGTGGTAGTAGTTTCCCCTCCTCCCCGTTTGGAAGGCGTCACAACCGCAGCCGTTTGTCCTTCGTCTGTCAATGGCGGAGGAGCAGCTTCATTGTTTGATGATTCCCCATTCGAATTGTCTCCCCTTGCTTTTCCCTTTTGCAATTCCAATTTTCGTTGTTTGATTTCCTCCTTGCGTTGTTGCAGTCGACTAATGTGTTGTCGATTGATTTGGAGATATTCTTCTTCTGCGGCATCGTCATAGTTTTCTCCTTCTTCGTCTTCGTGATCGGAAACCAACATTTCGTCGTCTTCGTCATCTTCTTCGGGTACTGTCAGTGGTGGATCATCTGCAGCAGCAGCAGGAGCAGCAGGAGCAGTAGACGAGGAGACTGGTGTAACATTTGGATCCATGTACCCTGGGTTTATTTGTTGCAACCGAGCCAAGGCCGTGGGTGACAATCCATTCAATGAAATAGACTGTGGTTGATCTTGTTGTGGAACAATCGCCTGATGATGATTGGTAATACTGGGTGGCAAGCCCCCATGACCAATCATACTAGACCGTATAACTTGCTTGGACGATATATTGGAATCCCCATACCCCGCTGCCGCCATCATCATAGACCCACCTTTGGACATGTCCAATTGTCCAGCGGCCAATTCCCGTTTCAACCGCAATTGTTCGATTCTAGACAAGGTCCGCACTTCGAGCTGATCCGGAGTGCAAAAGAGGCCCGAATTCAGCGGACACTCGAAATAGTCAATCCCGTCCACACTTCCCGAATGGTCCCCCAACCCAATGCTGGAACCTGTGAGACGGACGCCAACCTTGGTGGGATTCTCGGGGTGGTCCAAAAAGGCAACGATCCCATCCATGGCTGGCATGCCGCCATCTGGAAGCACCGTAATGGGGTCTAAGAGTTCCCAACTGGTCTTGGTCATGACGATGATGTTGTTGTGTTGTGTTGTTTGTTCGTTTGTTTGTTGTTTGTTGTTGCTCTTGTTGTTGCTCTTTGTTGTTGCAATGCTGGTAATTGTTGACACTCACTTGCTGCCTTTGCTGTATATTGTATGTGCAATGAAATGAAGCAAACCTGGACTGCTTTGGATCCAATACCAACAACAACAAAACACACACTCTTTCACACACACACAAAAAGTAGTGAATGAATGATGAGGAGGAGATTGTTGGAGTTTCACACATATCCTCTTTCGTACCTTGGTGGCGGTGCTGCGCGGAGCGAGCAGGATTTCAAACACTTCCGAATGGATGAATGAATGACGTGAGAAAATTGACCCGCTCGAAAATTTGCATTCGAAGCAGTCAAAAACCAATTTCCCGCCCACGTACGACCCACGATTCAATCTTTGCATATATCCTTCGTTTCAGTCCCGTTGAGAACGACCAAAACAGATAGGAACGACTTGTTGCACCACCATCATTATATTGACAAAGTGTGAACAACGAAACAAAGACCCAAGAATTAATAGCAGTTCAAGCACATTCAATAGAAAGGAGGCTGCTTTCATCGCTCAACTAGTGAAATGGCGTATAGATTAAAGGAAATCAAGTTCAAGGTATGATCCATCCAGCCAGCCAACTTTCAAGAATCAATCGCAATGACCCTTCGTCTTTTGGCCTTGTTTGTGGAGTAACCACTGCATGTATTGTACTGCAACTCACCAAACCGTTCTATTGCATGTGTATGCGTTCGTCTAATTCCCAATTCCAACACATTCGATCTCAGGAACGACCCTGTCACATTCTGTTGCAAAATGAAAATGGTCCCTGCCCTTTATTGGCGGCCGCCAACATTTTACTCCTCCAAGATTCCATCACATTGCCTTCCAACTGCGTCGGCGCTGGTGTCATTACCATCGACGAGCTCTTGAACGTCTTGGCCGAAAAGATTCTCACCAGCAATACGACAGGCAACAGCGATCATCACATTCAACAGGTCATGAATTTGTTTCCCACCTTGCAATTTGGAATGGACGTCAATCCCAAATTCACCGAAGGTCCCACTGGAGTCGAATATACTTCTGGATTGGATGCCTTTGATTTGCTGCGGATGGAAATGGTCCACGGTTGGTTGTTGGATCCCGAAGCACCGGAATTTTGTTTGGTAAAAGACAAAACCTACAATCAACTTGTCAACAAGGTCATCGAAGGCAACGATGCGGGTTCTGCATTGGAATTGGAACACCAACAACAGCAAATACAACAACAACAACAAAGTGCATTGGATTTGTTGGAACAACAACAACAACAACAACAACAACAAAGTGATGATAATGATGATCCAAATACTATGGATACTGCACCACCGCCCAATACTGCTATGCTACTAGAGCAGCAACAGAATCAACGAAATGAGGATCTAACAAATGCTGCTACAACTACAACTACTATTCCTTCTACGACTACTGCTGCTAGTATTCAATCGAAGATTGACGAACTGTCAACCAAAGCCAACGAAGGAGCCATCATTCGTCAATTTTTGGAGTCTTCGGGACATCAACTGACCCAATATGGTTTGACCGTCCTACATGAGTATCTAAAGGATGATCAAATGGCGGTCTTTTTTCGAAACAATCATTTCAATTCCTTGTTGAAACATCAAGGACAATTGTACCTACTCATTACAGACATTGGATACGCCAGTGTGGGAAACATTGTCTGGGAAAAATTGGATGTCATTGATGGAGATACGGAATATGTGACTCAAGACTTTACCAAGCCACCGCCCATGCAACACCATGAAGCATCCAATACCGCGAATGGGGAACAATTGGTGGCCAATGATTTGCAATCTCAAGCGGATTACCAATTGGCATTGCAACTCTCTCAAGAAACAACAACAACAACAACTCCAAATGCCAATGCCAATTCTTCTACGCCACAACAGCAGCAACAGCAACAGCAAGCACAACCACCAACCGTGGCATCGCTTCCATCATCATCATCAGCGGCAGCGGCGGCGGCTCCCACACCAACGCCGTCGGGTCCCATACCACCCTCCTTTAATGGACAAAATATTGCCATGGCAGTTCCCACAGATCTTAGTGTATTGTCGGAAGAAGAACGAGATCGAATGGTTGCCATGCAATTGCAACAACAAGAAGAATTGCAACAACAACAGCAACGTCAACAACAGGAAGCCAATTCACACAATCTGGCACTGCAATTGCAACGTGAAGAAGAATTGCAGCAACAACAACAACAACAACAACAGCAAAGTAGTAGTAGTAGTAGTAATTCGGCACAAGCAGCAGCTGTCGCAAATGCAAACAATCCAAAACGAAAAGGAAAAGGGAAGGATGGAGACTGTGTTATTATGTAGTGTAATATTGTTACATAACAACTATGGTAGGATAAATAATAGATAATAGATACTACAGTACTACAGTGGTCAACAGAAATCTACAGCATTTCTCCATTCTTCCAATCCTAGAAATAGCACTATGTCTGTACTGTTTTCGCCAAACCAAAAGATCGCGTCACTACCTGTAAATACCGAACTCACGATCGTTTTATGAACATCCCATTGTTCAATACCTGCAAATGAGACTTGCAGCATCCCATTGGTCTTCAATCTGTGGTATGGCTCTTCGTCTTTCTACATTATTTTCACTCTACAAATTTGCCAGGCCATTACAAGTTGCTCCAACCACAATCAGAATGTCAATGTCAATGTCAATGTCAATGTCATCATCATCCTCATCCTCATTGAGCAATCCACCTACCCTGACGTTGCGGAATGGATTGAAACATCCAGTGATTGGTAAATAAGATTTGATTTTGCTGTATCCACATCAATCTTTTGTACCATTCGGAATTCTCTCTCACACACATACACACACATACACACACACACATATGTATCACTTTCTTAGGCTTTGGAACGTACAAGGTTGGGGTCATTCCTGCTTCGGCATCGTCGGCAGTGGCCAGTGGAGGTCCAAACGCAGTCGAGCGCACTGCAGAAGGTACGATCAGAAATGCGTGCACAATGCAATGATTGCACAATCTTCTTTTTCCAAACAAACAAAAAAAAATGCTCATCACAATCCAAAACTGCTCCATATATATATATATAAATAAAAAAAGAATGCGTTTCGGATGCACTCGACGTTGGCTATCGCTTCATTGAATGTGCTCAGTTCTACGCAAACGAATCGGAAGTGGGGAAAGCGATTGCCAAGTCGGGAGTGGAACGAACAGATTTATTCATCTGCTCCAAAGTATGGACCACGACGATCGAACAAGGCCCTCAGGCCATTGAAGAACAGTTGAAAAAGACCCTTGCCGATCTAGGAACGGACTATGTAGATCTGTATCTGATCCACTGGCCAGTTCCTGGAAAGCATGTCGAAGCCTACAAGACGCTGGAAAAATTGGCGGACCAAGGGAAAATCAAAGGCATCGGTGTGTCCAATTATGCATGGGAGGACTACCTTGAACTGAAAGAGAATGGTGTCAAGAACTTGCCACTGGTCAATCAAATCGAGATCAACCCATTTCTGTACCGAAAGAATACCATTGCTAAATTTGCCGACGAAGGAGTCGTGCTCCAATCCTACCGTTCTCTTCGCGATGGAAAAGCCTTTGATGACCCAACCATATTGAAAATTGCAGAGTCACATGGTCGTTCCGCAGCCCAGATTCTTGGCCGTTGGTGTGTTCAGAAAGGATTCGTCTACATTCCAAAATCCGTCAAAAAGGAGCGCATGGTGGAAAACTCAAAGGTCTTTGACTTTGAACTTACAGAAGCCGAAATGAACGAATTGGACAGTCTCACAACACCAGATGCTATTGAAACCTTTGTTTCCCTTTATCGAAAGTGCGTCAACCGTGATACAAGTAAGGATGGAACGCTGGACGGAGTCAAAATGACCATCACAGGAGACTAGAGTAGAATTGAATGATCCGCATGTACGAGAAGTAAGAAACATGCAAGGGTCAAAAGACGATGCAAGAAGAAAACTGAACTATTGTTTCTTGCTCAACAACAAGTCATATTAACAATGCTACATTTTGCTATTCTTTCCCTCTCCTCGCTCTCTTTTTCGTTGTTTGAATGGGCATGGGCGATTAGTATTCTCTACAAGAAGGCTGTACAGTACCAGGCAGGACCAGCGGCCAGCTAGTAAGTACAAAAAGATCCTGACTGACAACTTGAAACTGTCACGGTTTCATTCATTCCTGCGAACATTCGAGATCGAGTCTCGTGATCGAGTTCGGGTCAATCCATCAACAATCACATACAGTACGCAGTATGGCCCGCATCACCATTACCAACAACTGAACGCAAGTTTGATCCTAGATTTTACAACGAAGATCTTCTCACCTCCCCAGACTGTTCAATCCACCTTCAAGCAGAAACCAAGAAATCTCAAGACTGAATAAATCAAGCATCAATCAAGCATCAATCAAGCATCGTCACTGGATAACAGCAACACAGAGCATCATGTGTTGTTCCACCAAGGAAGGTGTCTTCACCTGGATGGCAGCATTATTGGTGAATGTTGCCTTTTTGTCGCTCATTACCTGGGGCGCCAATGAATATTGGCCTATTGGGATGGGGATTTCGGCCATCTACACCATGATTCTGTTGACCTTTGCCACCAAGATTGATGCAAAAGCAACGTCCAACATCCAGCGGAACTCTGGGACTCGCAGCAGACGAGGAAGAAGAAGAATCGGAAGATGAGGACCAAAGCACAAGTCACAGCAGGATTGAAAAAGTTATCATGGACGATGATCTAGACTTGTCCATAGCTTCGGCAAAGAGGGAAGACGTTACCAGCTTGGTCAACCTTCTCTACTTCCTCTCGGTTTTTTCTCTTGGAGTCACTGGATTCTTTTTGGTTGTGAATCTCATTCCTTCTTGTGACAACTTCAACTTTCAAGGTTCCAGCACTCCGATTTTTACATGGAAAGCAAACTTGGATACAATACCAACCTCGGCACAAGAATGGGCCATGGGTTTACCGGACCTCGAGAAGGCGGGGAGCTTTGCCTATGTTCGCTCGACCGGCATTACGATCTTTCAAGGCAGCCACAATGATGCTTACGCTGAAGATACAGTCAAGTCGTCATCAAGGTATAGCTCAAGCTCAATATACCAAGACATTTCGTCCCCGTCGTCGCTATGGACAGTGACGAATTCCAGTGCACCAGAATTGGTACAAGAAGGGTTTTACCTTCCAGGCCCCATGGTAGCAGTGACTGACGATGCGGTCTGCTTTCCCGCGGTACGCAGCCTCGGTTCAGAGGATGCTAGTTATTCCAGGCCGCAGCGAAAAGAACAGACTGTATACTGTTCCAATGGTATAGATTTTAAACAAGAGACCTTCCGTGATATCAACGAGGGGGAATCACCAACAACGCATCTTTCTACATTGACGGCTTTCTACCCCATCGATGGAATTCTTTGGTTCAAGGAACTTGACTCTGGAAGAATCAGCGGTACGAAGATATATTCTCTGGATCCAACCACAATGATCTCCGCTCTGCACAGTTACAAGGTTCAACAACTCCCATCCCAAAGTGTTGACGCGATCGCGTCTTGTGATGAAGGTCAATACAATCGAATCAGAGCCATTGTCTCGTTGCTAGTCAGTATCCTTCCCATGGCCGCATTGACGTTCTTTCTTGGAAAGGAGACAAAGGTTCCATCCATGGGCATTTCGGCGTATATCATCATTTCGTTGGTCTACGCTTGCCTCCATATTCTGGTGTCGCCCAATGAAGGAGAGTATATGCCTTCAACATTTCGAGCTTGGTTTGCCATCTCGGGCCTTACGTGTCTTCTCTTGTCGACGTACCTTTTGTTGGCATTGCAACAGCACGACTCGAATACCCCTCGTTGGGTTGACAAGTCGCACGAAAAGCAATACCGATCTCTGTTGGGAATCAGCGCAGTCGCCTTTGCCTGGGGGACTTTGGTGGTACTCGCAGCCGATTTGTACGACCAGGCAGCAGATGCACTTGGATGGTGGTTACTTTTCAACATACTTGTCTGCTGTCCGCTGCTCTTATTTGGAGCGGCTGGTGATTCAACCTTTGTCCTGGCATTGGGAGGCCTTGGATTTCTCGCGGATGCCATCCGATTGTCGTCGCTCATTGACTCCCCTTTATTTTTCTTTATAATATTTTCTTTGATGGGGCTAATGGTCGGACTTCTGGGCTACTACTTTGCGGTTCAGTTCCAACCAATTATACAGAAGTGGGCACAAGAGCACGTCGCCAAGATCAATGACAAGTACTGCAAAACTGCCTCTGACCTATATGGTTTGGACGAAACCGACTATGGCGACGACGATATCAGTCCACTTGCGCCTAGCGCAGATGATTCCGCTCTATGTGGTTTAGGTCCACCACCAATTTTTGCGAAGCAGAGGAAAGAAGCTGACAACTTGTCGTGCCTTGTTCCACCTTGAGTTCATGACATTTCACAAACAAACAACACCTTAATGTGTTGTCAGTGTAGTATTTTTAAAATACATGTATACCTAGTTTAAAGCTATCTACCTACTAAACTTTCCCGTCCATCTGGCTTCAGCAAGTACATGCCCAGAAAAGGCTTGTTCTAATTGTTCCTTTGTCTTTCCGGCTGATGAAGTGTCACCCGAGAACAAGAGAGTATCGAGGGCGTACAGTTTGAATATATACAAATGAATCTGTCCCTTTGGTGGCTGTGGTCCATCGTACCTACATTCAAATAGAGGTGCAAAGAAAATATGAGAAAGCAATTCCTATTGACGACGACAGCCCAGATGCGATTCAGTACTCGACTCACTTGGATAGGCTCCATGAATTTTGTCCTTCTTTCATAGTTCCATCCGCCTTCAAACCTTCTGTAAGGGATGTTTGCGTGGACGGAATATTGTAAATAATCCAGTGAACCCAGGGTTTCGGTGTAGGAGCATCGGGGTCGTCCATGATCATGGCAAAGGATTGGGTTCCATCTGGGATACCTGACCATGAAAGAGGTGGCGAAAGATTGTCACCATCTCGTGCGTACTTCATCGGGATGATAGTTTCATTTGCAAATCCAGAGCAAGTCAGCTCGAAAGCGGCTTTTGCCTTGTTGGCCTTTTCTTTACCAACAGTTGGGTCTTCGGACTTTGATGACGAGGCAGAAGATAGCCAGAGAATGATAACAAAAGCGGTTGATATGAGAATCATTGGTTTCGAGACGGTAGAAGAGGACTTGAGCTTATGATCTTTCTTTATGCCAGCATAATCCAGGTGGGAGGTTCCTTTCATTGTAGTGTTAGTGTTGGTTTGATGTTTCTTTCTCCAAAGCACCATCGTGGGATCTCTTCGCCCAAATGATTTGTGTTTTCTTTTGATACGAGTATGCCATTTCTGTTTTCTTCCCCCTTTATTCTTCCCTCTTTAGTTTATACCAAAAACTAACAGAGATTCGAACAATAGCATATTATTCAATATGTATTTTAAAGGCTGCGCAATGCTTCTCTCAATGATCACCTAATAGTTACCCATCTATATCATCTGCGAAACTTTCAGAACTATCGCTCCTCTTCGGCGCGTATCGTTGTGAATAGTGCTGGCTTGTTTTGTGGCAAATATCCGAGATTTCCCTTTTCGTGTGGTGAGAGGACGATATTGACATTCTTGGTGGTGGTCTAATCTTGAACATGGAATTTTTGCAGTCTTGTTCGTCAATCCGTTTCTTAAGTTTCTCGTGTTCATGTTTCGCTAGTTCATGTTTGGCTAGCTTTGCTTGCAGTCTTTCGTGACTTTGAGACCGTAGCACTTTGGCCTCTGAGGATGGTGCTGGTGGTTTATGTTCGAAACTCTTTTGCCTCCTGAATCGATAGTTGGGCCGAATGATGGAACAGCCATCCACCCCTTCAACTTCAGTCGATGTTGATTTCAGAGAATGCAGGTCAGAGTCAGAGCGTCGTTCTTTCCTTCTATGACTGCGAATAGTTCGGTCCAGCTCTCGTTTCTCTGCACTTGGAGAACGAGATGAGGACACTTGCAGTGATCGCTGACTACGTGATTGTCGCTCAAAACTTCTTGGGGGCGAGAGTCTCGTCATACTTCGGTGATGCCAATGATTGCCATGATGCAATTTGGTCTTATGTAAACTGGAATCGATACTCTTACTGTCCTTATCACCTCCAATACTATCACCACGACCACGGTGAACGCTGCGATGATGGACTTTGGAGGAGTCCAAAGATCTCTTATCATCCGAGCCTGAATCTTTTCGCTTTATTGATTGAAGAATCGCAGTTTTCTGAAGCATCGAGTCTTTGCTAAGTCTTCTTCGAACGGTAGCATCTGAAGACTTTGGCCGTCTCCGGTTGATGCTGCCAGTTCTTCGCAAGGTGGGGCGAGCGCGAGGCTTGTCTTGTACCGTCGGGATCAATGGGAAATCTGCGAAATCAGCCGAAAAAGAGCTAGAGCTGCCTTGCTCTCCATTAGGCAATGAACTGGGTAGATCTGAAATGCTCATTTCAAAATTCAAAGTGGAGGAGGAGCTGTTGCTGCTGTGGAAATTCAACGTGGAGGAGGAAGTGTTGTTCATTTGGTCGCCATCGGGAACTCGTTGAACAGGGAAATAGGGATATTTCCGAACTTCAGTATCTTGCCGATCATCACTATCCCCTATTTCTGCATATTGTGGTTTTTCATTCCTCCAGTGCATGTGAGGAATCATCTTAATACCTTGTGTTATTATCTTTTCAGTGTTTTGCTTGGTTTTGTGTCAAACAAAGAACAAATCTATAGTCATGGTTTTGCTCGGTGACCTCTCTAGTGACGTCAAAGAACCGTGGAACACTGGAAGAAGAATTCTGAAACGCTTTATTTTATATAATGAACAATATTTAAAATTAAAAGTGAAGCGGCCGAAATCCTTGTCCGACTTCGGGAAAATTACACCGAATCACATTCAAAACTTTCCGGTGCCCACTTTCTTGTTTGGACATCATGCAGATCTGCTGCACTTGCATCAGCGAAGCCCCAAAGTCAGAAGGCATTGCGAACTCGACGCACTATTTAGCACAGAGACGATAATATCATCAAAATCCTCATTCTTCAGAATATTTTTAATCTCTCAGAAACCAGTCGGGTGAAAGGAGCTGAGTGTCATATCCTGGCCCTAGTGGTGTAATTTTCTTGTCGAGCACATTTTCCATCAAAGTTACCTCTTGCGGTTTCTAATGAGAAACAGAAAAGTTTCCATCGAATATGCAGACTATTGATTGCTAGTTACCTCGAAAAGTTACTAGTTGGATACGCCTTCATTGTTCCTGGGTAGATATTCGAATGCTCATTTTTCAGAATTGGAAGTGGAGAAGGACGAATTGTTGCTGCTGTGGAAAGTCGAACTGGGGAAGGAAGCTATCGGGAGCTCGTTCAGCAGGAAAATACGGACATTTCCCAACTTTGGTGCCGATTGTCATTCTTGTCGTCGTTTCCGCAGAGTGTGGTTTTTTCACTTCTCCAGTTTTTGCGAGGCATTATCTTTAAAAAAATACGAAGTTTGACTATGTACAGTAAGTATTATATGTGACGGCCCGAACCAGTTCTGGATTCTGGAATCCACTCACAACGCACAAGTTCCCAGCGCCAATTTTGATTTTCGACAAGGATAAATAGTGATACATATCTTTTTGAGGATGACTGTCCTGCACTCGATTTGTGAGAGCTCTACCGGTAGGCAGCAACACTGCTGAATATAGTCCTTCCGGCGTCCGTAGCACTAAACCTGTACCCTAGGAATCCCGAATTATGACCGTTAAACTATTGAGATGCGTGCGCGCCAACTGAAAGCGACGGAATCTGACAAAACGGAATCTAATTATTCAGCAGTACTGCTGAATTATTCAGCAGTACTGCTGAATTTTTCAGCAGTTCCCTGAATTTTAAAATTCCCTTTGTCATTCCCGTTATATTAATCGCCAATCAATCGTCAGATATAAACCACCATCAACACCTTCTTGACAACGCCTCCGACAAGCAACACAACCTGCCAGAGCAGCTCTTTAACCGACCATGACGATCCACTTCTCTGAAGATGAGTTCCTGAAACTAGGAACGGTTCTAGGAAGCAGCTGGAGCAACGAACAAATCGATAGATAGTCCAAGACTAGGCGACAAAGCTTCTTCACGGACGATTTCTATGCCGATGCAAAGACTGTGAAGCAGATGTTCAACGATGTCCAGCAAGAGCCAACGAAGATTATGCTGGGTAACTGCACGGTAGCCAAAGACACGGACGGCGATTGGCATTGGTCACCACCAGCAGAAGCTTCCCTTAGAGTTGATGTCGAAAATGGCAAGCACAAGGACATGAAGCCCAAAATGCTCCACCAACAACGCGATGAGTACAAAGCGTTTGACTTGAAACCTTTCCGGGCCCACATCTATCAGGAGACTAGGCGAAACAAGGATTATGCATACTGGTTGGGAAGGAAGGAGAAAAAGGAGAAGAGACTTGCAAAACATCAAGGAAAACGATATAAGGATGACGACAATTACTTTCACGATCCTTTCATTGATTTCGTATCCCTAAAGGACTAGTTTTACGATTGCTAGTCTACAATAAAATATTAATAGTATTACTGTGAATCATTTTTGTCTTACAACAACACTATCAGTTTTATTGTTTTACGTGGTGGCGGAATCTGAATAACGGAATCTATTTATTCAGCAGTACTGCTGAAAAATTCAGCAGTTGAGAAGGGAATTCAGCAGGACTGCTGAATTTTTCAGCAGTACTGCTGAATTATTCAGCAGTACTGCTGAATAAATAGATTCCGTATCTGCATGCTCGGAAAATGCTACGCTGGCGAAAAACCGTTATGCTAGTTTCAATATTGACCCAGTCGTGGAGGGAAACGTACGACATACAGGCGGTGTTCAGCAGGACCTCCCTGTGTTGCAGATATCTCATATCGGTGATCCAAAATGAGTTACGATACAGTAGACCTGAGTTCAATTATCGGTCGAATCAAGTGGAAAAGCACTTTCCCGCCACAATGTGTGTAAAACTTCCACAAATGACTTTTCCGGATCCGCTTCCGGATCTAAATGTCTCGATTCTACCGCAATCATAATCAAAAGAGGCACGCTTTACGTCATCAGAAACACAACGAGAATTGACGCACCCATCATTTCGAGCGCAAAGGATTGATTCTCTGGACATGATTCTTGCCTCAAACCCTGAGCAGAGCAAGTTCTAGATGAAAGGCGAGCTGACACATGTCACGCTGGAGAGGCGTCAGCTGTCAGCTGTTTTAATGTTTCACGCCAAACTATTTTATAGTTTGTCCCGCCCAAGCATACAATATAGCAGGCTTGTGAGCCAAGTATTGCTTTAGTAGAAGCTTATCTATTGATCTATTCGATTGGGTAGCTTCTACTGTATTTGTAAATCCCTGATTATTTACGATTGCTGAAAAGCGTTTTAAACTACGCAGCCGCCGCTCTTACTGCTAGTGGCGCAACAAGCTCACCAACAATACTTTTATCTGATCTCAGTCCCATTTGATGAGGGCTCGCAAGACTGAGCTCTATTCTTGATTTGGTTGAAGATGGTGCAGTTGCCGATATAGCGACAGCTCCTTTGCAGTCCTCGTCATCATCTAGGTAGAGGAATGGTTCAGCCGCCACTTGGTCACGATTGCCCATGACGCGAGCCCACATTTGGCAACTCGATGTCGTTCTTGTGTAGGCATCAGCAATGGCTTGCGTATCCGCCTCTGTGCTTTCGTCCCACTGTCGGGCTTGTTCTTCGAGTACTGCTGCGACTCCGGCCGATCTGCTCCTCCTCTTGTTGATGGAGCCCAGTGTGGTATGACCCTCAAGGCCACGAGTACAGTAATTTTTGCCACCGTGTTTGAGCTCATTGGTTTCCATTCTCTTGAGGATTCTGACACAGCGTCGTGTGATGTTAGCCATTTCTTCCTCGTCGTACCACGTTGCTGCGATCTCGCGGGATGTATAATCATCAAGGCTAATAGTCTCGACCGCTGGTGTGACATTTGGGTCGAAGTTGACTGATCTCTTGTGGTGTGAATATGTCATGTTGGGGTTGTTCTGATATCGTGGCTAGAAAAAAAATGTGATATCTTTTGAGAACGACTCTCGTGCACTCTATTTGTGAGACCTATCGGTATAAAAGAGCCGAGCGGATGTCTCACATCGGTGGTCCCAAACGAGAGTTTTGTTGGTTGTATTAATTAATAAATTGGAAAAACCGCAATGCGTGTAAAACTTCCGCAAATGACTTTTGTATTCGCTACTGTACATATGGCGACGGTGTACAGTATGCACGACAAGTCGATCGATTCTACCACAACCATAAATCAAAAGAGGCGCAGTACGATACTGTATCACAAAACATCACGACCAGTTTTTCCAGTCAGGGACTGTGGCTACAGTACCGGTACCTGATACCATGTAACAGTGTTATGTCTCCGCCCTGTGGTGCAATTTTCTTGTTGCCACCCTGCAGTTTCTGAGAAGCGAGTGTTCCATCGAATGTGGATCTTTTTTATCACAGTAAAAATGATTTTATTGATATCAGCAAAGGAAGCAATAACGACGCCTTCGCTCGGCGTCTGCTCGCTCGTCAAGTTCGTTTGCTGATAAAAAACAGTGGTACAGTACATGGTACGGGTACTATGAGACTGCCCTAAGGTTCTGCGGCTTTCCAGGACCAATTTTGATTCTAGTCCCATATATATACTTCGCCGAAGGCACAGAATATAAAAAAGCAGAGACGATATATCATCCAAATCCTCACCATTTCATCTCTCAGAAACCAGTTTTATCGGTAGTGGTACCACCAGTCAGCAGTCAGTGTTGCGTTGGCGTGTAATTTTCTTTTCGCATACACTTTCGACCCAAATTACATCTTGCGGTTCCTGAGAACCAAAAATAATCCTTCAAATGTGCATCTTTCTACAATAAGATGGTACTCTATTGATTGCAGTAAAGAAAACGAGTATTGAAGAGTGAGTGAGCAGAGTAGGTGCAGCAGAGAAAAGTCGAGTAGCGATTACCGTAGCGAGTCAGTAAGTAAGTATAAAAGTAAGTAAGTCATGCATATACATCAAGTCGACCCATTCGATCCGATGCACAAAGTATCAGTATCATGCACGGACCGCGAACACATGCACGCACCACGCGCGACGTTGACTCACCAACTGGCGGCTACCGCCTGGTTTCTTCCGTGAGGGATTCTTTCTTGGTGTGACTCTGGTGGGTTGTGGTGTGAAGCTGCTCTTTGGATTGCAATAAACGTATTTCTTGATGTGTACTCGTACACAAGTTCGATAAGTTGATCGGACTCGGTGTTGCGGAGCAATGCTGTGGTGAAGGTCGTTCGACCGTCGTCAGTATGATGAAAGGAATCCAATGATTCATTCGTTCTCGAGCTTTCGTCTATGTTTAGTTAGAGAAAAGACCGTTGTGGATCCTGTCCAAAATTGAAAATAGATTCACAACACATTGCCAAACCCACCGCCATCAACATTACGCACTTGTTTAACTCTTTGTAAACCGTTTATTTCGTGAAAGCATTGCAGCATAGAGTAACAAGCAAAGGATTGATGGTGGATCAAATCTTTTATTACAACGACCCAGAAGCCGAGCCACCCCTGGAAGTAAAACATGTGGTGATTGATGCGTCTCAGTTGGAAGCGCTCCCAGAAGAAGGATTGTCCCATCGCCCCGAATTGACCAAGATTGAGTTTCAGAACAGCGTTGACGAATCATCAATGATAGTGGAGATTGGAGACCGCGCGTTCAATTTCTGTGCCAGTCTCCATAGTATTTTCCAAATGCCCTCCACCTTGCAACGAATTGGACAGGCCGCCTTTCATCTTTGCAGTACTCTTGGATTTTTGCACTTGCCGGATGGAATTCAGGTGATTGGAGAAGGAGCCTTTGAATCCTGTGTTTCACTACTAACGATTCGAATACCCTCCAGTGTGTTACGGCTGGAAAGAGCAACCTTTCGAGATTGCCGTCAATTGCGATCGATTGAATTGCCGCCAACACTGGAATCGATCGGTGGGGTTGCTTTTGTCGGTTGTTTGGAATTGGTCAATATTTACATCCCAGACTCAGTAATTATGGAAAGGAACTCGTTCTTTTTTTCAGGTTGCACCAAACTGGATTTTTTGGCGCAAAGATCAGAAGACGATACTACGACTAGTATGGACGAAGCCATTGTTTTGGGTCTCCGGAACCGATTCACGGATTTGCCCATTCATGAAATATGCTACTACCAATCCTACCATTCGCTAGAGGAAAATTTAGACCGTCTCAAACAGATGGTCTCCTTGCAATTCTACGACTTTGAACAGCATGTGGATGATTTGGGAATGAGCCCGTTTCACGTTCTTTCCTTATCCGCAGACCCAAAACCAAAGCTTGCCGAGGCCTTGACGAACAAGATTGTCAAGGAGAACTTGGCGGTAGATCGATTGAGGAGAGGATGTCTGGATATACTCAAGTGTCGATTATGCTTGTTGTCGCCGTGTTCCTCATCTAGTAGTAGGATGGATTCATACTATGATCAACAGCAAGAACAACAATTTGCACCAAGACTCTTGTCCGATGCCCATGGTCACGGGGCGCTCTTCTTTGCCTGTCTCAACATTGCCCCTGGATCCACGGAAATGATCAAGTACATGTTTCGATTGAATTCCTCGAAAGAGTTGGCGCAGTTTGGCTTGCCACGATGGAGGGATGAAATCTTTTCTTTGATTGATCGCGAACTGGATGGAAATGATGGGACAAGAACTACTACCATGAATGAGGAAGAAGATGACAGCAGCAGTGCTAACTTGGATTACCAGAATCGACTCCAGAAAATTGTCCTCATGGGCCGTCATGTTGCTCGATATCGACTCAAGGAAAAACTGTCGATTCTCGAGCTTGCGGTTTGGAAGGCGGCGCAACGATTGGAGGAACCAGGTGGTGGTGGTGGATCTTCAAAGTCCTCAGCTTGCCAAGAACATCGTCAGACGTGCCGTACATTGTGTGGAGCGGATGTCATCACTTCCAATGTTCTGCCGTTCTTGTCTGCAGCAGCAAGGGATGCTGATTGATACCGTGCATCATGAGGGATTGATAAAATCCATCCATGAATTTCATCTTTATCATACTACTTTATACACTCATACTGTACTATACAGTAGGTAGCATCGTGCATCGTCACATTATCAATATCCTTCACACCCAACCAAAGTACTGTAAAAGGCCCAGACTCAAGCGAGCAATAAAATCATGCGGTGACGTCGCACTTCCGTGCGTTTGTCCAATGTCGCACAAGACACCGTCTGGCATATTTTAGAAATATGGGGCACAATTTTGTTGGTCCATACTTTATTCCACGACTAAAGGTACCTTCAGAGTCTGTACGTACCACGACTGCTTCCGGTACTTTCCTACCTACGACAACTTGATCGGAACCACAAACACATCCGTTCTCGTTCCAAACAAGAACAATCCAACAATCGAAAGTTCGTTTTCATTTCTTGAGAGGTTCCTTTTCGACTACTCCGAGCGCACAGCCAGCGCGCCGGCCTTTCCCGTACATGAAAGTACAAAAAAAGGACGTATCAGATAACAAACAGGCACGCTGGCCAGTCAATCCAACATCAGGGGTCACCTTCTGTTGCTTATTTCAGACAACCGAACAAATTCTCGACTTCTCCATAACTTTTATTTCGATCGGAAACAAGACTAGGACAGAACTTACCCTTCAAGCAACCTCTCACATAGAACTCTTCAGCAAGCAAGCATCTCATTCAGTATCATGGCATCTCCAGTCTCCCAATTCAAACTTCTTGCATTTGCTTCGGCATGCTTGATTGCCAGTTCCGATGCCTTTTCAACTTCATCGAACTTTCAGGTGACTACAGGACCAAGAATTCAACCAAGTATAACGTCCACACCTGGTTCACTGACGATAAGACGAACGTCTTTGGGACCTTTGACGGCGACGATACAACCTAACACACGTACATCATCAATACAATCGTCGTCGACGGCACTGAACATGGCATTTTCTGATATCTCAGACTTTTATGCCAATTGCCCCCTTCAGGCAGCCGTCTTGACGTGTGGTTTCAAAGCCAGTGTGGCCGATGTCATTGCCCAAATCAAGGGAGCAAGTCCCGATGAAGAGGAAGAAGAGGAAGACGAGGACTCGTCGTTTTCTCCCATGACCATAATGGAGAGCAGTCACATGGTTGAAGAACCACAAGAACATCAAGACAATCACTTTGACTTTGAAAATCCCATGGAGAATTTTGAGAGCATGGTGGAAGACATTGACTTGTCGCCCATTGAAGACTTGGATGGCAAGCGAAACTTTGCTTACATCATCTATGGTGGTATCTTTATTGGCCTCATGTGCCATTTGGAATACGATTATGCCTTTCCATTGATGTTTGCTCGGAATGGGGTGGACTATGCGGTCCAGCAACATGTTCCACAGACGATTCTATCGGAGATTCTTTTTGACAATTTCATCAGTGGACCTCTGTTGTGGTTGCCTCCTGCCTACCTCATCAAGGCGGTTGTATACGACTATTCCTTCAAGGAAGGACTGGAAAAGTATGTCCACGATATCAAGGAGAATGATCTCTTGAAACGCTACTGGCAGATTTGGCTTCCTGCCCAAACGATATCCTTTTCCGTCGTCCCAGAGCACTTTCGAGTGGTCTGGATGGCTTCGGTCAGCTTTTTCTGGTTTATCTTGTTTTCCACTTTGGCTTCCAAGACAGACGATGTCGATGCGGAAGCGGCTCTTGCCAAGAGCAATTGAAAGAACTCCAAACCATTTTTTAATACCCAAGTCTTGGGACCTACACAAGAACAACCCTGTTCCCAGCGCTATGTACTATAATCATTTTAAAAAGTATGCAACATCTCTTCCACCATTATCTATCCTTGACTACTATTTTCTTATTCTTGTGGTGCACGTTTCATCTTTTCACAGGTCCCATGGTTGCCTTAGCTCCGATCATCTGAGAAGCCTCTTTAAAAATATTATATTGCGATGATTCTTTCCTGTTCCAAACGTTAGGGTCGTGCAACGAGGAGCACTCATTGACGAATCCTACTTGCTTTGAATGAACCTAGCATGATCCTATATAAAGAACTATTTTCTAAGATTATACATTTAAAAAAAAAGTAATATCAAAAGGTCTTCTTGTGTAATCTATGCATCAAATTGTATAAGAAAAATTGCTTACTGACCTTGCAATAGTAGTGAAATGCAATGCAACCATTCTTATATCATCAGACTGCAGGCAAGTGCGGCAGAATCCGCCGTTTCCTTGACCTGTGGATACATCATGGACGATCGCCGTCTTCCTCTTTGCAGGATGGTGGAACCACGACGACCGGTCCAGTATTCGGGATCTTCTCGATAGGCAAAGCGGGCCTTTTGCACTCGTTTGCGGCTGCTTCTGATAATTCCATCGTCGCCCGTGTCGGCTTCGTCGGCCGAAAGAGAACCAAAGTCTTCCCCTTCCGCTAGTGGATCCAAATCGTGGGTAGTACTTCGGTTTTTGCGGTCCAAAGTGTCCAAGACTTCGAAGGCTCCGTTATTACTGGTTTGGTATCGTTTGGCCGGGGTTGCGTTGTTGTCGGCAGTGGTAGTCACATTGCTACGAGGAGGGGTGAGAGCTCCGCGAGATCTGCTTTCCAATTTGTCAAAGACTTCTTGTAACATTGTTGGTGACGATGATTCGTTCTTCTTTGGCATCATTGGATTTGGTGGAGGTGTTTCGCTTACTAGGATGTCTATTTGGATCTATGTTATTGTGTGTGTGCGTGTTGTATGGGAGAAGAACAATAATAATAGCTTGTGTACATTTTTTTTTGGTCACTGCCCGATCACAGTTGCAGCTAAATCTGTCCATTCATAGTCACCCAATATGAGTACCAAACTTCGAAACTTACTGGATAGTATCCTCCAACCAAGATCCAACTTTCCTTTTCCCATACTCTTCCCTGCGAAACAATTCATTCTACAAAAGGAATAGCTCTTTCATTTGCGTCGTTTGGACGGCAAAATGGACGCTATATTATATAGGATAAAGTTTGTAACAATATTTTTCAATACTGAATGTCTGCATCTTGCTTGTTCATGATCCAGCGCTCACAATTCATGACGACTCGCTAGTTGGTGATACTGCAGTACCAGGTACTACACCATCCTTATCAATCATCCAACTTTCATTCCCTATTGCGTTGTCCCTCCAGTCATCGCGTACATGTACAGTAGTTCGAATCGATAGTTCAGCTATTTTTAAAAAATGATGATGATATATTAATAATTCTCCAGTTCAAAGTGGTCCTGCGACTCTTCTGCATCCTTCGCTTGCGCGGATAAACATGCTGTAGAATATTCTTCGGCATCTCATCAAAGAAGAGCGCATTTCTGTCGCACTCCATATAAAAATGTTTGGACAGCATTACGTGACCGCATTGTCCACACACTAATCATGCCTCAATCAAGTGTCGAAGACATTGATGCTCCTCCTGAGAAGATCATATCTGAAGCCCTTCAGAGCCTTTCCTTGAAGGAACGGGAGCATGCATATGAAGATATTCATGGCGTCAGCAAACCCATTCCGGAGACGGACGATTTGGTGTCCACGTCACTTGATCGGATGGCAGCGGAAATCGAAAAGATTGAGGAGAAATCGGCGTATGAGCAAGCGAAAAATCTTTCCGAGGACATTGTTACCAAGCGAGAGACTCGACTTGGCTTTCTCCGAGCAGACTCCTTTAATCCAAAGAAAGCTGCCGATCGATATGTAAAATACTTTGAGCAACGACTTGCTCTCTTTGGACCGGAGAAGCTTGTTCAAGATGTTACGTTGGACGACTTTGACGAAAAGACAATGGAAACATTGTCACGAGGTATTTTGCAGATACTCCCGAACCGCGACTCGCGAGGGAGAGCGATTGTTGTAGTGTCAGCAGCGTTCTTCAGTTCTTCGCAATACACGGGGCATGACGCGGTTCTGATATGGGTAAGAAGTTCAATCAACACCTGCTGGAAGAATGATTTTTCTAAACATATCTTCTGTGCTAACATTGAGACATGTTCGAAAGGGTCAAATATTTTTCTACATGATGCTATCGCTTGCAGATGACGAAGAGACGCAAAGGAAGGGGGTTGTGCTCATCAACTACTCTCTAGATGCTAGACCGCGAAATATGCAACTACGTCGCAAGATTTTGTCTTGTAATGGAAAAAGCATCCAGTGCCTACCCATCAAGTTGCTGGGCGTCCATCTTTGCCACAATTCACCAATGGTCCAACCTATTCTTTCCTTCATTGCGCGCTGTAACGGGACTGCCGTCAGCGTGAGAATCAGGCCTCACGAAGGTAGGCCAATTTGTGCAATCTTTGTGGTGATGGCTGACACATGCTTTTTTCTATTGGCCTCTCACATTTACTTTTATGTCTGGTGTGGCGCGGTCCAGGTTCACACAGCGAATGTCAATACAGTCTCATTTCATTTGGGATTCCAATCAAATCATTTCCTATTTCTATTGACGGTGGGCTAATGTTGTCAAATCACAACAAATGGATACAAAAAAGAGGACTCAAAGAAAAGTACCGGGCGAACAAATCATTACCGCTAGGGAAATCCATTGATCTGCCATCCACGACGGATGTACTGCTGGGCCGAGGAAGACCTTTCAATTTTCACCCGGGGAATAGACTACTCCACGAGATTGTCGAGACGTACTATGACCAATACAACAGTGCTCCCAGAGAGGAAAAGACAAAAATTTCGGAAGACGTTGTTGCCATTGTACATAGATATGATGGGCACTTTTTGAAACAAGACGCAGATGCAGGTGTTTGGGTAGAAGTGTCAAATTTGGAGGCCAGAAACAAGGTGAATCATAGCTTCCGACGAAAGCGGGAATTTGATCTGAAAGCTGCTGGAAAGAAGGTTGCAGTTGGGAAAGAAGGTCAAGAAAAGAGGCTGAAGGTATAGCTCGGCAACTTTAGTGAACATGTCGCAGCTTGACTAAAATAACGATACAGTTGGTTACGGTAGTATGAAGTTCGTGGAATCGCTCTCGACAATCAGACTGAAGTTTCCTCTTCCATTGTGTTAACCGTAACATCAATCTCTGTGTATCCTTTGGATCGTGCTGTCATTGCCCTAGCACATCGGCATAGGAACAGCGTTACCTCTACACCATGTGTCTTCATTTCCTCCCTCGTCGGAATCGGTTGTGACGAAAGGAGTTCACCAGCCAGATTCGATCGGGCTGCAATTTCAAACATAACACCTTGGATGGAACAAGATGGTGTAAGTCCGTTGGTGTCAACAGTAGCTATTAATAGTAGTACTTTTCATAGCATGAGAGCATACAGTAATGCCACTCGCCTTTCGTGGATTCACCCAATGAGAGTACTGTATAGATTCACGTTTTCCGACCCCGATTGCGACGAAGAATAAACCCGAACATCACTTTTGTCTGCCATGCATGTCGCACATTCCCTCGCGCACGCAGCGAGGCCTTTCCGCTCCTCTCTCCAAAACGATTTGGAGAGACACTAAGAAATTCCCATTCCAAAATTGCATACAGGATTCTTCGACTTAACGAACGATTCGACAGAAAATGCATGACAATAAGTAAATCAGACCATCACGAAGTGTGCAGTCACGACTTTAATAAAAAAGGGCCCATTGATAAAAATCTCAACGATCGGAATATCCCAACATACTTCTGTGAACGCCACGTAGGCAGGATGTCTACTAGAGTCTACGGCAAGAACTCGAATACGACCCCTTTTTTTCCGTGGATTTCTCTCTTTTTGTGTCGTGCCGTTGTCTACTGCCGTTTGACTGAAGTCCAGCAGCAAGGGCAAAAACAGGACTAGCCACGAAAACAGGAGGAAGACGATATCAGCGCAAAAGAGTTGTTCTTTCTTTTTGCACACACACAACCACACCAACACAAACCAAACACATCCCGTCATACACACCAAACGGCTCCACCATTACTTCATCAAGGTCATCAGAAACGGAGCTATCTCCTACTAGCCAAAAGGGGGGACAGAAGAAGAAAGGTCTCTTTCAGCATTTGGTACGAATCGCTTCGGAACGTAAGCAACCTCCTCCTTCCATGGTGGCTTTGACGGATCCCGAAACCGACTTTTCCGGGGCTCTGAGACACTCTTCAGTACTCGGAATGTCGCCGGGAGAGGAGTATCAATCCAGCAGCAGTTTTGAATCGAGCGAGTTTCTCAAAATGCCGGTGGACAATTCACTCATGTCGGACAATATGGGAAATCAAGGCTTGTACAAAGGAACCGTCATGAAAAAGACGGGCAAGCCGCACGGCAAAGGAACAATGGCTTACTCAACCTGTGACTTGATATATTCAGGACAATGGGTGGAGGGAGATTGGTCAGGCTTTGGCAAGCTTACGGACACTTCCACAGGAATGGAATACGAAGGAGGCTTTTTGGATAATCGCAAACACGGACTTGGTGTCATTACTTATCAAGATGGAAGAGTATACGATGCCTCCTTTCAACTGGGGAAAATGTGTCACAAAGGACATTTGACATGGCCGGATGGCTGCAAATATTGGGGCAACTGGAACGATGATGGAGTTCCGCACGGAAGAGGAAAGAAGGACTTTACGGATGGTTCCAGTTACGATGGAGAATTTGATAATGGTGTCTTTCAAGGCCACGGACGAATGACTTATCCAGACGGATCATGGCATTTGGGGGAATGGCAAGATGGTGTAGCGAATGGATTGGGAATGCGAGTGCGAAAAGATGGAAAACTCGTTCACGAAGGAATGTATTGTCACGGAAATTCACTTACGGTATCTTCATTACCACCTGAATATCAAGAAAAGTCATCAGGGGAATTCCTTCTCTATAGATCAAGCGTAACAGATGGAAGGACACTGGAGGGGCCACTGCCGAATGACATTACAATGAGAAAACTACAATTCAAGTGCTGAATTCCTATAATATATACCTGCCTACCTGCCTACCTACCTACCAACCTACCTTTCCTATTTACAAAATAGAGTTGCCGTTGAAATATAATATCCTAAAATCTTACTACTGTAGTACTCTTTTAAAAAGAAAAGAACACTGCAAAAACCGGGATTGCATTGGATGGTGGATAGGGTTGTGACTTGAAAAAGACGGCAGTTTGCTCTTTTGGGATCATGTCTCAATCTTACAGTATAATTTGGCTAGTGATTGTTTCATTCTTCTTCTAGTACTCTTGAACATACGGCCGCAGATAAACCGTTACACACCTCCTCCTCGTCGTCTGTTTTGCAGAAACCTGCAAAAACCGGGATTGCATTGGATAGTGGATTGGGTGGTGACTTTTAAAAAAGGCGGCAGTTTGTTCTTTTGTGATCGATTATTAGTTCACAATCTTACATTAATTTGGCTCTAGTGATTGGTTCAAATCTTACTATTATTAATTTATTAATAGGATTACCTGCACTGGTACTCTTTGATATTATGTATTAGCAGCACGGCACCAGGAGCAGATAAAAAGTTACACCCCTCGTCGTCTGTTTCGCAGAAACCTGCAAAACCGGGATTGCATTGGATGGTGGATTGGGTTGTGACTTAAAAACGACGGCGGTATGCTCTTTAGTGATTGATTAGTTCACTAGCTTGCTTGGTGCTGTTATTGCCTTCACAGAAACGCAATAAGGGTACAAAGTTCAACCAATAAATGTTGGGGGAGGGGATTGCTACCCGGTATCATTCATTTTTGATCACATGGACTGTATAGTACAGTATTAGCTTTCCCCTCTGCAACGAAGGAGAACGTGAAGGAGAGAACACTTCTCTTCGTGCATGAACTCTACAACCTTCACCCGGTCACTACTAGACGTTTCTGCTCAGGATTATTGGTCGAAGAACGAGAACCAAAAGCCCAAAGCACTTTCTTATCATTACTATTTTAACCAGCCTCCATTATGGGACAGATATACTGGTAGTCGCTCAGAATGATCCAAGAGGAGCCGTTAGATGCTATCATACATCGTTTGGGGTGGTGGTCCGTCGAGCCGCTCTGTTGGTGATGGTGATAATGATGAAGCTGATATTCTGGATGAAATGAAGGATACCACTATCCCAAAGAAGACACCGAGCAAAACGAGGACGAAAGCCGATTGTTGCTCGAATGATCCACCACCAGCACCAACAAAATCATCATCAGATATGGCATTCACCGGTGGTGCTTCCTCGCTGGCATGGCTAGTCGCAGAGTCAGCACTACCAATGGTAAAGTCCATGTCTATCTCTGTCGGCCAGTACCATTCGTCACCTTCGTCATTATGTCGTAAGGCAGCTTCTGCTATCCGTCCCGCCAAGGATATCAAGTAATCAGATTCTTCCAAGCCATCGATGAACCTGGGGGGGATGCCGGAAAGACCAACCTTTGCTCCTAATAGGGCTCCTACCAAACTAGTACGCATGGTATTTTGCCCACCACCATTGATGGAACACAATACAGCATCTTCAAAGTCGTTTGGAAATCGAGCGGTGCAGTAATAGGCGGATGAAAGAGACGCGAAAAAGGCACAAAACTGACCGTACAACAAAACTCCGCGGTGAGCCGGCTTGATTGATTTCTTGAATTCCTTTACTCCGTCTGCAATAGAACCAAACCTGAGGGAAGAATGTGAGGCAAAACATAACTATATACAGAGCCAGCTAGTAGTCATCCTTCTTGTTCGACTCCATCAAAACTTACCACAACAAACTGTCTGGTTCGGTAAAGTGTCCGTAATCTGGATTCGAATCTTGAGTCGAGAGGAGCGATGTATATGGCAAAGCACGACCAGGCTGCTGATACAAAAAGTCTCGCATTTGATGAGTGAGTGGCACTCCTTGAATGGCGGCAGCCACCATGCTGCCAAATGCCACCGAATGGGCTTGGACACTGCTGTCCATGGTCGCAGCCTTGGCATGCTTCTGAATTGCCACAGCCATTTTCTTGGGGTTTTGGTAGTACAAAGGGGCAATTAACGCGGCTCGGACAACGGCATCTGGAGTATCACTGCGGGGCGAAGCGCAATCCGACCATGGCCTTTTCTGAACGATTCGGCAATCATAAATGTCGCAGACTGACTTGTCTGTCCAACCATGAGATCCACCTTGTCGAGTACCATCCATAGCAGGATCACGAAGAATAACCTTCTCAAAACGATCAAAGAAATCATTTTGATTCAATTCCAAATTCTCAGCCAGACTTTCCAGTAGCAATTTGTCAATCACACCTTGCTGTTCCAGCTGCCCAGCTTTCAATTTCCCTCGTCCCGGGGCATTCTCCGTCCCAGAATGATAGCTTCCTGGTAGAGGATCCAAATAGTCTGTGACAAATCCTCGATCGGCTTCTAGCTTTGCTAGATCGTATTGCCAGTGAACGCCAACACCCAAGGCATCTCCAATGAAAACACCGATGATGGCACCCTGAATGCGATCTTTCAACTCCTCCGCATCGGAACTGGCAGACAAATGTTGAGTACCCTTGGTTCCTGTTGATATTACGAAGAGGGTAAGGAAGATGATTGAGGTTAACATGCTACGAATAGTCGCAACATTGGTTGAAAGATTCAGAAAGATATTTGTGTTGAGTGAGAGTTCGAGAGCGAGTGACAGTTGTCTGCGATGATGAGATTATGCTTCATCAAAATTGGATACGAAGTCGAACGGGTCGTTTTTTATGGAGCCCGGCTGAAGGACAGGCAGCATTATATCGTATTCTGAATTCTGAGGCATTGCCCAACAACAACAATACCGCATTATAAATACTTGTTTCCCTCTTGCAGCCCCAGAGTTCTTATCCTCTTAGATTCACGATACATGAAAAGATATTTCCTTCTTGCGATTCAAGAGTTCGTATCCTTTTAGATCCACGGACGAGAAGATACGCGATTCATTCTCATTTTCAATTTTCAATGATTCATTCCACGAACCCTTTAATCACCAGTTTCTGGCAGAGTCAAGAACAGCTGCTTCTGGTGGACTATCCTCCGCAACTTTTGGTGCACTGTTCTCAATTTTAAAAAGTTAGGAGAATCTTGGGCCTGGAATCGTGAGTACCTGGTACTACACAACAGAACCTCCACACTTTCGCCACATTGAGTTCTCGTACTCAATTAGATCCGCGAGGCGACTGTGAAGCTCGTTCTCATTATCACGTTCGGCTCAGGTCAGCAGCCAGTGGAAATGTAGCTGAGATTTCGGGTTATCTCTCCGACACCACAAGTGATCTTTCCGATATTGCCAATTCAGTGGTGTGAAAAAGGTTCGCAAATATCAATTGCGCCATGCAACTCACTTTGATACGAAGTATTGCGAAAAGAACATGTTCCTGCGGTTCTTTTTCGCACGAAGCGAATTGGTTGACCGTTTTGCCTCGAAGAGATCCGAAAAAGACCACAAAAACAAGCTTCTGCTGTGTTCAACCATAAAAAAATACTAGACACGTTTCGATCCCACAAAAACCAGAGTTTGCACAGAATTTTCGATCAGAAACAAAACAAATATCATGATTGCAACAGCCCAAATGAACTACAGCAGCACGATGGACAAGGTTGTCACCTCTGTTGATTTACGAAAGGGGAAGAAGACCAACAAAGCAATGCGGGACCTTTGGGGGCTGTCTTCAGCCCACCATCGACGGCCAACAATGGCAGAGGATGGTTCAATTGCCAAATCATATTGGCCAGAACTTGTCGGAAGCAGAGTTGATGAAGCCAAGCAACTGCTTACCAGAAACCAGCCATATCTCTTGATTGAAGTGGTTGGTTTGGACCACACCGATGACTTGACAATGGAATACCACGCTCAGCGCGTACAATTGTTTGTGGATGACATGGATGTGATCATCTATGCACCCCAAATTGGGTAGAAGAATACTACTGTATTTGAAACAAAACAAAACCTCCGCTTGCACGCCCCCATCCCAATCCTTTGTTGGAAGATTCGTGGTTCCAACGAACGATTGACGATACGGATGAAGGAAGCTGCAAGACCGATGCATGTAATCATTTTAGGCAATAGATATAATATATGATAAAAGATAGATAGTACTATAATCATCTAACATTTCTCCATTGAAAATAACCCCTATTCGAATACGACATGCCCAGTAGTTAGCCGTCTGGAGATGATGACGACGATGACGATGATGATTCAGAATAAAACCCACCAAGTGCCAGAACCATTCAAAAATCTCCGCCAAAAGTTTTAGGCATTAACATGGCAATAGGTATTCCGGATGTGTCCCACCATATTCTATTGGCAAGACCGAGATATCCATATCCTCTTGCAGATTTATAAGTTTGGCACAAAAGCCAACCTTTGCGGCCGTCTTTTCGTCCAGCATAGGCTTGATCAATCTCCAGGCCGATTCGAATCCCAATGGAGAGTTCACGAGCATTACTTTCCGCAGCCGTTCCGGATATTGGGATTGCGCCACATATATGAGTTTTACAATCATGGCTCGTACATTCTTTCGAAAGACCAGAGACGGTGTGAATCCTTTCAGATCGAAAATCAAACAAAATTTCTGCGGAACTGGTTCTGGTTTCATGTTGTGAATCATGAGTTCCAGCATGAAGGAGACATATCGAACGTATTCGTCTACTCCGTCATCAAAAGAATCCTTTCCCTTATTGCCATCGTTTGCCCCACCGTAGGCATTGGGATCCCAATACTGCAGCTTGTAGTTGGACACCACACACCCCTCTTTGGTGTATCCACACAATCTCCAAGCTCCAGCTATTTAGTACATTATGTGAGTTAATAATACGTATCATTGCATTGAAGGATTGAAATATAAATGCATGGTTTATTGAGAAATGGAAGACAAAGAGACGAAGAAATGAGTGAGTTATCATTCCGAGGAAGAATCAAACGATAGTCAGAGCATTGAATCATCAGCAGAATGCCAAAACAAAACTCACATGGCAGTGCATTTGGAATGTCCTTCGGTTTAATTTCCTGCGGCTTCCATCTAGCACGGAAGCGAACTTGTTCAAAAAATAAGGAAGCAGAGTCTTGCAAGTCGTACTTGCGAGCAATCAAAATTCGCTGCAAATGTTTTGGGTCCGCCATCATTTGTTGAACGACAAGTTTGCAATCCTCCAGGTTCAGTGGGCGACTGGATGCTGTTTGAACCATGGACTGTGGATCACTTTGCCATTGTTGATTCAAGTGTTCTGCAAAGGAAGCGATGTCAATATTTTCCACCTCGTCTTCATACTCTTTTGCCGTATCGTCAACATCAGAGAGGGAAGACACACGGCAGGTTTGCAACATTGTAGGTTTTTCATTGGCTACCGTAATAGTAGAGGACCTCATTTCAAATGGAACTTGGACCGTGGAAAGGATTTGGATTACATTGCCGTCATCATTGTAATTCAATGGAAAGCTTCCAGAGAGCAATGATAGAGAAGAAACGGAAACTCCTGTCGTGGTTCCGAGTGCCGATGATTTCGACGGCTGTGAACTGCTAAGACTCTTTCGGCTGCGAAGTATCCCCATGTTATTGCTCTAGTCAGTATTGGTTTTCAGAGTATGATTATGTCGGGTAGCCACTGGCAAACAGATAGCAGCCACCACTAACTCTGAGAGACAGTGATGTCAATGAATGACAATTAATGAACTTTGATTGAATGACAAATGTGCGAACTATTCAAAACTACACTTTGTTGCCACCTCATCCTTTTGTGGTCGAAGCGGTCGAAGATTCTGGGCTATGTCTATCTATCATAGTCTCGTTTCTCGTCTCCTCATAATTTTCTAACTACTGTATTTTCACTTTTTGAAGCCAATCCAAGCCATACTGGTAGCACTATTTCATCTTTTCTATTGTTACGCACTGTGGTGAATGACTGACAATCTGAGGCTCATAAACAAAGGCACAGGTATTCAAAAAGTACCTCAATCGGTTTGGTCGAAGCAGTCGGAGGTACTCACCCGACTGTATCATATCAAATCGCATCGGTAATAGCTATACATAATTTTTTTTGCGTCGCGGTAATATCTCATCTTTTCTATTGTTACACACCAGTATACTTAATCAAAACTTGTGACCATTCTTTTCAACATGCAGCTGCACAGTAATTGGGTTGAAACGAGTAGATCACACTCAAAATATTTGACATGTAGCAGTTCCACAAGGTTTGTTGGGCGGGAGCGTTGGACGCGGGTGGATACTGCAGCAAGAGTTCTCGCAGTCGTTCAAAGCCCTTGTTGAATGGAATGTCTGATGCGCCAGACGCATTCCGTGGCGCCGCTAGGAGGCCGCACCGGGTTTGCTCGCAAATTGCCAGATTGTTCATAGCTGCTCGGAAGAATTGAATGTTGGACGACACTACATTCCTGTGAGCAGTCGCCTCCGAAGGCACCAAACGACGACGATTTGTTATCGCAAGGTCATACATCTGACTAGCCCTCTGCAGTAGATCATATTCGGGCCGGGATCCATCATTCAATCTCCCTTCACCATGATCGATGTACGCGAGATGGCAAGCGAGCCCATAGTTGAAGAGCATTGCAATCAGGAGACTGGTATGCTGTCCTGTGACACAATTGTGAGATGATTTCAAATTTTCAGCAGTTCCAATGTTCGATAGTGGGACGACGAGTGGCCTTCGGTATACAAAGAAGGAAGAAGTGGGACCACACCCGTCGTCATCGTGGAGAGCTTCCACTGCTGGATACATCCATGTATCCAGAGAGCTAGAGTGGGCGTCGCCGCTATTGCCACTTGAAAGCTTAGGCATTTGAGTTAGATGAGCCTGAAGCTGTCCCAAGCATGTTTTCAGTTTCTCCATTCCTTTGCCATATTCCTTTTGTACAATCAGAGCAGCTGACTCATTGCTCATTTCCATGATTTGGTGAAGCTGTAGTTTGTTCATGTTAAAAACTTTGTGGGAGTAGAAGACAAACAACAAAATGGAATCTCCGAGACGAGGGCGAACCAGAAAAGTTCCGACGTCGTCCTCTGGCCCGTCACGTAAAAAACGTAGTGGCGCGCCTGCCAGGACATTCCTTTGCGAGCTGGTCAAGCCTCCTTCAAATCGAACGGGTCGTGTTGGACACATGGTGGTGCCACCCGCAATGATCGGTCTATCCGCGAACACTCCAACATTTAACCGCGAATTGAAAAATTCGCTGCTATTTAACCGCGAATTGAGAAATTCGCGGCTATTTAACCGCGAATTGCCTCCATTCGCCGTTGTGATAACCGCGAATTGAAAAAGCGCCGTTGCGTTAACCGCGAATTGATATATTCTAAAAATTCAGCAACAAAACCAAACAAATCCATCAATGGTGTTTGTGGAGCCTGAGACGCCCTGGAAGACCAGCAGGGCGAAACAAATCATCCAGGAACTACTGGGGATCTGTCGCGCGATAGAGAAGCCTTAGGTGATGAAGGAAACAAGTAGATGATGAAGGGAACAACATGATTCTAAAAGTCATCTTGAAAGTGATTTGCGAAATGGGCGAGGAGTCTACCAGGTACGAAGGGAGATCGGAAAAGTGGGATCCCAAGAAGCTTGCTACCAGGCTCAGAAGTTACAAAAGGCGAACAATATCTTGGAGCATAAGATGGGACGAAAAATCAGCAGGGCAAAAGACATTCTATGGGATCTCTTGCAACCGCTCCTGTTGTCCCCCATCCCACTCGATGGGGAAAAGTTGACTACAAAAGGTGTGTGACATGAGCGGCGAGAAAAATAGGAAGTCGAACAATGTGGTTCTGAATATTTTGCTGATAGACTGACAGCGCTGCAGAAGCAAGAAAACCAGAAGATCAGCAGAGTCGTCGAGGACCACTAGGCTCATGTCAAACAGTTCGTCGACAACCATCCAGTAACATCCTTTCAAAGCTACTACAAAATATCCATTGACAATGATCGGATGCCCAGAAGCTTCTGCGTCAAGCCATGGACGAGAATGGAAAAGATAAGCTCCTGTAAGATATCAAGATCTATGCCGTTCTTAACGAAAACAGTATTGCAAGGAGTTTTCTTTGAATGTTTTCAGGGAATGCAACTACCAGGAGATTAGAACAGGGAAGTACTTGCACGCTCTCAAAGTCAAGGGGAAGAATCATAGATCTATAACGTAGTAATGATGCTATAGAAGACTATTTACTACACTTGCATTTTCACTATTGGAACAGCTGATTTTCCTCTCTCTAGAGGCTCTCAAGAGGACAACTTTCCCAATCCAAACATAGGAAGAAACCCTGTGATTGAGGAACAAACCATTCTATTGCATGGTATCGTTGTATGGAGGAAGAAATGAGAGTGATTCTACATCACGCAATTCGCGGTTGAATTAACCGCGAATTGAAAAATTCGCTACTAAATAACCGCGAATTGAAAAATTCGCTGTTAAATTTACCGCGATTTTTGAATTCGCTGTTAAATTTACCGCGAATTTTTCAACTCGCGGTTAATTAACCGCGAATTATAGTTGAAAGAATTTCTTCATCCGTAACGCCCGCTTCGCGCGGGCGGTTCGGTTTCATGATCTGGTTGCCTCCGTGACACATACTGGCTGGCGATCGAAGAAGTATTCGGCTGGCGCGTACTGACATTTTTACGTGATGGGCCTGGGAATAAGTGAACAAGAAAAATGAGTACCGGCAATGCATGGGGGTTCTCATGCACAGTTCCGACTGTAGAGGAGGGAGGCAGTGGCCCGGGAATTAAAACGTATTCGTGTAGTTTACACTTTTTTTATTGAAAAGATGAGCCGTCAGTGGGGCATTTATATCCTAAGAAATGAAAATAAACGTGGACACTGTCCTCGGAGTTACTTGTACTGATAGAATTCTGTTGTCATGATATTACCCCAATTCGCAAACAAATATCACTTAACACTGTGATTCGCATTGGTAAAGGAACAGACAGTTGTGTACCCACGAGATTTTAGAAAATGGGAACCACCTCCCGTAGGTGTTGACAGTTTGGGGCTCTACTGTACCGTATAGTTTCGACAAGCGAAGCCAAGCGAACCAGGAACTAATACACTGACTGCACCACAGGACACTGACGAAGCGACGATGACAATGATACTGTACTGTAGGTCTTGCTCCCACCAGACGGCGGGTACTGTACCCGTTGGCAGTTGTAACCGGACCACCAGATATAACAGATGACACCCACGGGAAGGGCAAGAAGAAGGAAGAAAGTCAGGCAAAACTGCTTATGGTGCACTTCTTCGGATCCGCAGAGTTTGTTGTGTTAGTCAATTGACTAAATATCTTCACTATCGCGACGCCAATCCACACGATACTGTAGTACTATTCCATCGTTTCTAGTTTTACACACTACTGCAATTATTGTACAGAATCAAAACTCCGACCATTCTTTTCAACATGCAGCCGCACAGTAATTGGATTGAAACGAGTTGATCACTCTCAAAGTATTTGACATGTAGCAACTCCACAAGGCTCGTTCGGGAGCGTCATTAGACGAGGGTGGGTGTCGCCGCAAGAGTTCTCGCAGTCGCTCAAAGCCCTTGTTGAAAGGAATGCCTAATGGAAAAGATTCATTCCGTGACGCCACCAGCACGTACCGCGTTTGCTCACAGATTGCCAGGTTGTTCATGGCCGCTCGAAAGAATTGAATATTGGATGATACTACGTTCCTGTCAGCCTCGGCAGTCGCCTCCGAAACTGCCAAACGACGAAAGTTTGTTATCGCAAGGTCGTACATCTGACTTGCCCTTTGCAGTAGGTCAAAATCGAACTGCGATCTATAATTCGATCTCCCTTTATGATCAATGTATGATAGATGGCAAGCGAGCCCATAGTTGAAAAGCATTGCAACTAAAAGACTGGTGTGTTCTCCTGTGGCGGAGCTGTTTTCAGTATTTGCTCGGGCTGATCTAATTTTCGATGATGGGATGACAAGTGGCCTTCGATATACAAAGAAGGAGGCAGTAGGACCGCACCCAACGCCACCGTCACGGAGAGCTTCCGTCGCAGGATACATCCATGTATCCAGAGAGTCACAGCTGATATCGGAACTATTACCACCTGGCATCTGCAACAAAAGTGCTCGAAGCTGACCCAAGCCTTTTTGCAGTTTCTCGATTCCTTGGGCGTATTGCTTTTGCACAATTAGAGCAGATGCCCTATTGTTTATTTCCATGATTTGGTGAAGGTCTAGTCTGTTCATGTTAAACTTTGGGATGAGACTTTTTATGAGGATATACCACAGAAGACCAAAAATATGAATCTTGAGAATTTTTGTGAGGAATTCAAAACTGCATACTTTGAGCCAACACAGTACCGGTACTGTACCGTACTGTAGTGTGATGAGATCGTGAGAGCTGACGATATCATAGCCTATCTAAGATAGCCTACTGCCGTCCTCCGTGTGTGTGTTCGTAGTATTTTGTCTTGGTGTGTAGCTGGTGGGTTGTGGTGTGAAGCGGGTCGAACTGATCGAGTAATAGACTCGATTCGTTCGA